TATGAATTTTGCCCATTTATTTAATGTATTAACTCCACTGTATTCTAGAGGTAAATCAGCTAGAATTTCGGGGCAATGGCGTTCGTCATTTCAGTTTTTATAGAAATATCTGGAGTACGTTTATTCTTTATTAATCAATTTGTTTTCATTTGTCATGATAATAATATTTAGACGCCTATGGATTCTCACGTGACTTCAAAGAGATCAACTGAGCCGCCTTTTTCATGAAGTTTCAATTAATAATGGTTAAACTATACCTCCTTTTATTACTGCTTGCCTCTCTCTCCTTTTCCTCCTACTTGTCTTTATCTTTTTGTTGTCATCTTATTTCCTTTACTTCCGATAAACGAATCTGTTCGTGTAAGGTCTCTTTTATTTTTTGTTCGCTGGCCTCAATAAAAACACTATACCTACCTATTTCTAAGAAAAAGCTTGTCTATTAACGACACATATTCTGCGTGAATATTGACAGACTGTTGAATAATTATGATTATGTCTGACCTAACGTCTAACACTAACAACTCGAGAAGACAGCAGAATATTATGATTGATGAAAAAGAAAATCTACGTGGCCAAAATAATCTCTTCTCTTTATTGTCCTCGAAAATAGAACAGTAATCGTCTAAATATTTCGGTTTTCTACTTAGTCGTTTCTTTTCATCGGGTTTTTGTCTATATGTTCTGGACTTATTGTCGCGATCGGGCTTCTAGTCTCATTGTCACCCATAGTTAACCATTTTATGATTCTCAGATTCTTCTTGTTCTAGTTCATCACCATCATACTCATCTTCGGAATCATCACATTCAGATAGTTTGAATCTTTCCATTGCATCAACAGCAGTAGTTAGATCAACCTTAGAATACTGTTCAGTTGTGTGGTCGCCATTTTATCAGGTTCATTCTCACACACTGGAAAGATTCTAGCATACATTCTTACGTATTTGCGCGTTTAAGAGTGATTACCGACTTGTTATCTTCGACCATGATTATGGGGATGCTGAGCAACAACTTTCATTGCCTCCTTTAAGTAAACGCCGAGATATGTTTGGATCTGTTTTCATATTGAAAATTTTGAATGGTAGTATTGACTGTCTTGATCTTCTAAGGCAGGTTGGTCTCAATGTGCCCTATTGTCATGGTCTACGTAACCAGAGTTGCTTTCATGTTCCTTTCCACAGAACTTCTTATGGATGTATGAGCCTTATAAATGGCGCTGACATGGATATATTTAATATAAGGTTACCAGCACTCAAGAGAGCTTTTCTGATGTGATACTTACACTTGGTTACCTAGTTTTAAGTGCATTATGTATTTTATTTTCTACTTTACTATTATAGATCCATAATACCTAGGAAACGAAATACGTTAACACACCTATAACAACCTGATCCATAACGCCCGCTTTTGCGGGCGTTATGATCTATAACGCCCGCTTATAATACCTTAAGGTGTTTTTGTTGTTGTTGTTCTATTAATTTGCACTTTACCCTAGGCAGCCACTAAATGTCTGACCGAAAATAATTTTCGGTCTAGCCAGGATTCGAACCCGGTCTACCATCAATGTTTCCCATGTAGTCCAGCGCGTTAACCCACAGGACCACCACCGTTGCCTTGCCTTATGGGATGTTTATATATATATTATATATATATATATATATATTAATTTATTTCGTTTCTATGTACAGGTCGCAGGTACAGGTACAGGTCGCAGGTACAGGTACAGGTCACAGGTACAGGTACATGTCAAAATACAAAACAATATTCTGTCACACAAGTTTAACTGATTTTGTTAATAACAAATTGATGAAAAAACATTGTGTTGAGTAGAAAATAAAGCATTGTATGCACCACGGGGATTTCAAGATTATAATGCCCTTTAGGCGAAATATATCCCTCGGGCCATAGGCCCTCGGGCTAGTTTCGCCTCGGGCATTATAATCTACATAATCCCCTTGGTACATAAATAGCTATATTGTTGGACTTGTTTATAATAGAGTATACTTATTGTTTTCTTTTTTCTTAAGAATATTTTTAAAGCTTATTTTGATTTGTTCCTAACTGTAAAAACTACCTATGTATATTACAAGTTAATGGGGTTTTCCCGTAAATAAATAAATACATAAACAGCAACTATTCTTATGTAGAACTTTTGAGTACGTTACGTCACAGGAAGGTCTTCTATTCGATATCTGTCATTCGGTAATGATGTAACAATAATATAAGGTCCTTTAAATTTCTTCAATATTTTCTTTGATTCGCCTGTAAGTGGATTTGATTGTTTTCTAACTAAGACAAGATCTCCTGGAATATATGGTTGTTTTGCTGTTCCTTTATTAAATCTCTCTCTCTCTCTCTCTTTGCTTCTCTTGATCTTTTCTAATGCATCTCCATCTTGACTTTGTTCTTTGCGACGTTTCGTATATTTATGTACTTTTTCAAGCCTCAGAAATCGGTTAAGCAACTCCAGACCCAATGTTTGTGTTGGTATAGGTTTAGGTAGTTGGAAATTTTTAGTGTAAATTTATTACTTAGTTTCTACTTTATGTTGTTAGTGGTGATTGAAAATAAATCGTGAGGCTTGAAAAAGTATACATGAATATACGAAACGTCGCCGTAAGATAAGTGGTTTCTTTCCTCCTTCCCATAACCCATTAAGGAACCAAATAATAGTTCTTAACATAGTTCTTCATTCTTGGTTACCAGTAAAGTAAGTTTATGCAAAGTTTTTGGAAGAGCTGGGTGTCCTTAATCATCGTGATATTTCTTTGTGATCCTCCATCTAATTTTACTAGGTAGAACCCATAATAAATGTTCATTTTGTTTTTTAAATAATCGACCATCTCTAATCTCATACTCCTTTTCTATTCTATAGTCGAGTCACCCCATATTTTTACGTACCACTAAAATAGGGCTTGCATAGTCCGAATTCGAGTCAATGACTATTTGCTATAGTGTATGACCAAATTTCTGTCTACAAAAGAATTTTTTTAGATCGAGGCAGGTTAAATCTCTTTCTTTTTCAAGTAAGAAAATTCCAATTTTCTTCTGGACAAATTGTATCTAATGTATTTCGAGATCTCACTGACATTTTTTTTTTAATTGAAAATCTCTCGTTTGGTATTTTGTCTGATGATTCAAACATTGAATTCAAAGATGTTTTATTTTCGAAATATTATCCCAACCACCTAGTACGAGTCTGTGTAGTGATTATTCGTTATTGCATTGCATTCTTAAAAGTCAAACGATTATCATAAAATACTAAACAAAACAGGTATATTCGAATATATTATTCTCACAAACAAAAATCATCAAGTTATAAGGAAAAGGCTTGGCTTAATACACTTGTAGGCGTGGGAGGGCCTAGAAAGCTTCAGACAATAATTTGCAGATCATGGTCATGAGGAAATCTATATTATAATTATTACGGATAAATTCTATGAAGCTTCTGAAAAAGGAATTGAGTGGCTGATACCTATGACATCATATTATAATATAATATCAATATCTTTATAAGATTTTTTTTAACTCTAGGTAGGTACCTAACTTATGTTTGTCAATGATAAATATTTTTTTTTTTTTTTTTTTGTTTCTGCTTCTTTGTCTTCTTCCCTTTTGGGAGGTTTATTTTCTGACACTGTTTTCTCATTATTTATTTTTGTTATGAGACGTTTTTCTGTTCTTTTTCCATTACTTTCTATGTTAAAATGTTTCTTTTTCTTGACTTTCCTATATTTTTCTATTTCCTCAATATCTGTTTTGGGATTATCTTACCTTTCCTTGTCGTTTTCACAATAGGTTGGAATTATTACAAAAAAGAAGAGGAAAATCATTTATCACAACAATTTACCCAAACTAATTGTAATTTATAATAAGGTATGTATGACGAAGTCGATCTTTTGTCATTGTCAGAAAGGTCGAAACACTTGTCTTTACAACTATAAATAGACTGACCTCTATTGTTTAAAAAAAAAAAACGTCCATCATCATTAATAATTTTTCTTTGCATTAGAGAGTCATATATTTTTACCAAACAAGTAGGTACTTAACTAAAAGAACTCGTTTCAGCCCATTAGATTGTTCCAAATTACCGATACTCAAGGCTACATAAAGCAATTTAGATAAATTTTTTCTTGTTAAACTTTAACCCAAATTGGACAAATGAAATACAACAATAAAGGTCAGCAATAATTTGAAATAATAAAGAATTCAATGTAATGGAAAAATATTACACCTATACGGATTATAGGTACAAACAAAACCCACCAAAGTATAACGTTTTTTCGTAAGCCAACCTAATGAAATATTTATGAGTTTTAACTAAAAATGGTCTCTACTCGAATTCAGTGAACCTTGCCTACGCGACTGTTCGCGTCTCCTTAGCAAAGAGAATATTAAATTGTTTTATGTTATACAATTTTTAAAAAATATATAACTTCAAAAGTATATACTTACCTACTACTTTTTGAAGTAGGTATTAAGATTAATTTTTTTTTGTTACTGAAATCATATAAATTTCTTCATCCAACAACAGCTCACACGTCTTGACTCGAGGACATTATTATATCTGTCAGCTCATCTTGGTTGTATGAAAATCCCGTTAGGACTTATAATCTTGATCCTTTATTTGGTCTTGAGCCATTGTACCTAATCTTTCTGATGAAGTAATGATTTATGTTATAGCTCTTTTGCAATAGGGCAATAATTCAAAGTGGTCCTTGTTATCAATTTTGTTCCATTGAAAGTACCACATCTCTGCTATAGGAGCAAAATTATTCAATTTCTTCATTGTTAATTTGTGTTCTAAATGAACATAATACTTAAAAACGCCATTCGAGTCTAACGCAAATTACTAACCAAATGAGGAAACCCTAATATTCTCTGACAAACAATTTTTTCTTTTTTTAATCAAGTAGTTCCATATATGGATCGAAAGCAGAACCAAAATAACCTTTTAAACAAAACTCCAACCGCTCCAATTCAAATTCAAACACACCATTTACCTTGACATTTAATCCAATCCGCAACACCTAAAAGCCATAAAGTCACCAAAAACCAACCGCCACTACCTCTTCGAGGACACTTTTGCACAAACATGATTCACAAGAAAACGGACATTTAAAAAAAAAAGACGCTTTTTCGTTTTGGACACCTGTTAACTTTTACTCTTTCGGTTCGCTCATGGTTTCCGCGGGTTTATTCGAAATATGGTACCACCTTGACGCGATTGTGGTTCGCGATGGTCTGACTCTCGGTACCAATGGTACAAGAATTGAAAGTTGCTTCTGGCCGCCAGCTACGAGCCAATGAGTATGTCAGCGGAGGGTTTTTAACTATCTCGTTGAGTGTTGGTTTTTGTTGCAACTGATGGTTAATTGAGTTTTAATGTTGCCACAACGTTATACGTTAATATGACACTATAGAGTTGATACTTATCTTGTAATAAAAACAAAATCATTATATTTTGTTTAATGAGATTGAGAAAAATATTTCCAATTGTTCATAGACTTTAAAGATACTTTGGTTGGAGTAATTATTCTTCTTCCTCTTTAATGTAACGTCTCATTTTCTTGGCGGTTTCTTCAGCTCCAACCAATATTCGTCTTATCAGCCTGTGGCTTATTCAGTTTTAGATTTTTTGGTTTGAGTAGATTGATTGAAAACCAATTTTTCAAAACTAGGTTCTTTGTCCAGGCTCGAACCGTTGTTCCTTAATCTTCCCAATCGCCCATACCAGTTAAAAAGAGCTGTTTCTTATACTTAGAATGGATACCTTCAAATATCTTTAAAAGTTTAGGAACAAGATCCTGTGAGATATTTCGGATGGCTGAAAAGACTATGAAATGCATAAAAAGGATATTCCTCTTTTTTAGACTGCTCTATGATCCATCTCATCTAGTTCTCTCCAGCGAATTCTATTTTCGTTATTTTGAGGTCGTCGATCCATTTCACCTGGTATGATCTTGGAAGTTGACTTTTTTCGAATTAGGGAAGAACAGAATAGCCTATCTCTGGTAGATAGGTAAAGCAAAAAGAAACCGAGAAGGCCTCTTGGCAATTTTTCCAACGCCTCCTTAAGCTAGGAGAAGTTCGAGAAAAAATCCACTCCTCCTTGGGGGATTCCCCAAAATTGGAAGTTGACTTTTTTCCAATTTCGAGAGAACAAAATACTCTATCCGATAGCAAAGACGAAAAGAAACCAAAAAGTTAACTTGGAAATTTTACGTCCCACGCCTCCTGAAGGCCGGTTTACACTTTGTTAACTGCGAGTGTTTAGTATCAAATGTTAATTTGACATATTGAGTGTTACTAAACAGAAAAATAGAACACAATTTGATTAAGGGCCGAGTTTATAGTCATTCCTTGAGTCTTCCTTAAAGGTCGTGAGTTTAGAATGGACACTTGCTACTATTCGACAAGTTAGTCAGGTCAATTCTAAACGGTCAAGGCTTCCTTAAGGTCCAAGGAACCCTCAGGGAGCGACTATAAATTCGGCCCTTACTTACACTTATCCCTTAACACTAATCACTTCACAGATCCGTTTACAATTTGACAACTAATAGCACTACACACCTGCACCTTCTACTAATCATTATACTTTGACCGGCCTTAAAAGTAGAAGAAGTAGTAGAAGTACGAGAAGAAAATCCACGAGAGAATCTCGTCTTTCGTCTCGACGTGAAAAGAGAACGATTTTCTCTCGAAAGACGAACAGTCATGGAACGATACTAGAGAATGCTCTCGTTGAGAATTTCTCAAATTCTCTCGATTTCTCTGTTGGTCGTTCTCGAGCACATTATTCAAAACATGTATTTTAGATAAATAGGGATATAATAGACTAGGCACGTTTGTCGTTTTCAAAAATGAACAATGCAAGAAGCATTTCATGTAACAATTGAGGAAACAACGTTTTTAGGGTATTTCGACCCCGCTGAATACGAATCTGTTGCCAAAGCCAAATTTCGACCGGAAGTCCGGTATCCAAGATGGCGGCCAAGATGGTGGTCAAAACTCTGTTGTCCTACTTCAAGGATGATACACACTACTACTATAGGATGGCTTATCCTCATAAGGCCTGTATGTTACAAATCCCCCCCTACCCCCCCTCCCCAAACAACCAGTTGTGACGTAAGCACCATGGCGTTTCTCGCCTTGACGTAGGCTGTTTAAACAGCTGATGACTCAGCTATGACGTCGGCAATGGTTGAAAACAGTTGAAAACCAATATGGCGGCGATCACCAAAAAAGAGGCCGATAAGCACTCCTTTAGAGCGTGTATTCTCCTTGGTCCTACTTATATTTCCCTTGTCCGTTGGCTTGTAATAATGATTCAAACATCTGCTTAAGGGTTTTCTCAGATGCTAGGTACATTGCAATGGTTGAAATTTACTAACCTTAAGTTTGGAGTACACGGGCTCCAAGATAGCTGCCGAAGGAAGTGAAGAAATAAACGACCATTCCAAAGTTCAAACATTGTCTATTGCAGGATTGCAATATAGATAATAGGAAAATCATTCTAGTGTCGTTAGCTGAAGGCAGTAATACAAGAAAGATAATAAATCACCCTGTCAAAATGTCGATGTTGTCCGCCGTTATATGCAAAGGTGGTTCATTGCTGCCGTCAGTTTTAGACACCTTGAAATTTGGTGGTATGACGGCACCGGTAGCGTCAAGAGACTTCAAAGACACATTTGCGAGAGCTTTATCTGTCTGGAGGACCTGCTTATAGCTCATACAATGCTGTATACAACGGTGTTAGCTTCAGCATAGACTATATCTTGGCCTATAGAGAGCTCAATGTTTTTGGGTGAAGGCCGTACTTGCACAGTTTCTAAGATCTCGTCGTCTTCTTCATCATTGCTTGAGTCATCGTCTTGGTCATCGACAACGACGTCGAGAACTTCATCTCCACCTATCAGTACGCTCAGGAAAAAATGAAGATTTTTCGGTATGACTGCGGCAGACTCTTCTTGAGAAACATGAAGCCCTGATTGACCCGGCGAATCTTGCAGCTCCCCTCTAAGAAGAAGCGCAGCATGGACAAGAATTGGAAAATCATTATTTAGCACTAGTCTTGGAATCGAGACATCTTGATCGATTTCTCCTAAAGCAACATCCGCAGTCACCTTGGCCGAAAACTTCCGGGGTATAAGGAGAGTCTGCCTTCCTGTGATGTCCTTGTTCAAGGGCTGGAAAAAAAGGAACGAGTCGTTGATGGTGTTCTGCAACTTTATCTTTAAAAGTTGAGAAGCGCGATTCAGATACTTCGGTATCTCCACGTTGATTGCTCTGGCCAGGTGAACGTATCGTTCCCAAACATCTGAGAATTGCAAAATGTGACCCAGTGAGGCTGATACTTTAAGCTCTTTGCAAATTTGGATCATAGGTAAATTACTTTTGCCAGACTCCTTCCTCTGCATCTGTATTTTCTTCTGAATCCTCTCGGCCTTCACTATACACAGACTGTGGTATTTCACTTCAGATGCTATCAAGCATGGCATACAATTGATGCGAACAGTTGGTGGTCATAATTAGCCAACATTCTTATAGTCTATTTCCATTGGCTTTGATATCACCTGCCTCAGTGCTCCGCTTTTATCGCTTTGGCAGAAAATACACCTGCTTAAGTCGAAACATTGATTCCGAGCCGTAGTGACGTATCGAGATGACGACAATGCTGTAGCAGCACATTCCACCTCTTGTGAAGGCGCTGATTTGTTCTCTAACCTTTCCAATCTTCCAGAATTGGCAAGGTTTGAGTAGCTTCCGCGGTGGCACTTGTATTTCTCGTCACTATTTGTCAACGTTTGTTCGATCCTAACAATAGTGGTAGCAAAATCAGCATCATGAAGTTCTTTCCTCAAGCCTGCGTACTTCAGAAGAGTGTCCTTGCCGTTATCCGTCAGATCTGATAATTTGTCCTTCGAACATTTTCTCTTCTGCAGATAATGCATAGGTTATGGCCCACCGTTGACGCCATATCCTGCAAAAAACGTCAGTATATATTACAAAAATTACTAAAAGTGACACCTTCAGTAACACAATTCTGTTTCCAAATTGTATTTTGGAAGCTGTATTGCTTATAAAAACTCCTTGATAGATAGGGATATGGAGAACAGATTTGTGCATCCCTTAGTACTTAGGCATCTTCACTGGGTCCTTCCCTTCGAGAGGCGTAAGTATTAGAGGATACACAAATCTGCCTTGCATATCTTTACCTATCAAGGAGTTTTCAAGCAATATGTAACACATACAATAGTCTACGTATTTAGTACACATTTAACCACTAAAAACTGTATATCTGACAGATATTGCACTCCAAATACAAGAACACGTAAACACAACAAAGTTCCGGCGACCATCTTGGGCGCCATCTTGGATCCCACGCACTCCAAGCTCAAGGTAAGTAATTTCTGAGCATTCCAATATGATAAGCATCCGAGAAAACCACTACCGGCGTTTAAATCAATATTTTAGCCAATCGACAAGAAAGATGAGATACCTACGGCAACATAGGTTTGGAAGTAGAGGTGGGCCAACCTGCGATTTTAATGGAGCTGTGACAAGACGTGACTGCTCCAGTCGAGTCACTGTGACAAATAGCAGTGATTTTTTGGAGCAGTTTTACCTTAGTTGGCGGCCGTACTGCTAATATTATGTTAATGCTACATCGCAACATGGCATAATCACAGTCCGCAGTTACGGCCGAGAGAGATGTTCTAGTTTTCAGCCTGCCCTCTGCAGTAGCAGTTTCTATTTGGCTTGACCGCGATGCGATTTATAATATTATATTATTAAATTTGCATCACAGCTCGAGTTTTGACCGCGCTGCATCGGTCGGAGCTTGAAGCGGGCAGTGACAAAATGTCACTGCTACTTGACTGGGACTGGAGCAGGCTGTGACTGTGACAGACAAGTAGCAGTGACAAAGTCACAATTCGTGAAATCGCAACCCACCTCTATTTGGAAGTCATCTTGGCTGCCATCTTGAATACCAGACTCTCCGTCCAAATTTCGCTTTGGCAGCAACCAGATTTGTATTCAGCGGGGTCGAAATACCCTAAAAACATTGTTTCCCAAATTGTTACATGAAATGCTTCTTGCACATTATAGTTATCAATTTCCTGCTTATGGGCCTAGACTAATGGACGTCCGGAAATTAATTCGACTAATGGCCGTTTGCACCCAAGGATAATACGCACCACTACTACAGGATAGCTTATCCTCATCAGGCCTGTGTAGTTCAAATCTCAAGCCCCCACCATGCCAAAGCACCAGTGACACGTAGGCAGCATGTCTTTCTCACCTAAACGTAGTGAGTTTGCACCTAGGTTATGATTCCACGGGCTTTTGCTTATGCATACTTGGTTTTACTACATTAATTAACATTCTAAAATAACTCTTATTTAGATCTCGCTTGAATCTTCCACATCCATCTTATTATGTTAATCAAAATTGAATAATATTTTTCATCATTTTAAGTTCTAAAACTATGACCGCTAGCGCAAACAGCTGACGATCCGACTTAGTTAATGACGTCGGCAATGTGCTATACCAATATGCAATACGGCCGCGATTACCAAAAACGGGGCCAAGAAGCAATCCTTAATAGTATGTATTTTCCTTGAATATACACTACAAGGAAGCTGTGACTAGGATTGCTTATCGGCATTGTTTTTGGTCGAGATCTAAAAAAGAATTATTTTAGAATGTTAATGTAGTAAAACCAAGTATGCATAAAGCAAAAGCCTGCGGAATCATAGCCTGTGGTGCAAACTCCCTACGTCATCACTGGTGCTTTGACATAGTGAGGGGGCTTGAGATTTGAAGTACACAGGCCTTATGAATAATTATCGTTAAACCTCCCTAAAGCCTAGTAGTACTCATAACAGCGAAATTCGCTATTTTTTTACATTGCTTCGACAATGTGACGTTTTATCCGTGAATCAAACGTCAAATTGTCGAAGCAATGTCAAAAAAAGAGCGAATTTCGCAGTTATGAGTACTAGGCTTAAAAATGGTTGGTGCAAACGGTCATTAGAGGTTCAAACATCCATTTTCGACGTCTACATACATGTTGTTAGGGTACGTTATTGGATACTTTAGAAGACGGCCAATGGACATTCTAAAAGACCTGGAAAAACTACTTCTTTCAAAGCGTTTGAAATTGTGATATTTGCCCTAGAGGAAAACGTCAATTGGACGTTCTCCGTTCTCAGTTACTTTGACTCAAGGATAATATACACTACTACTACAGAATAGCTTATGGCCGTTTCCACCAACTATTTTAAGGGAGCCCTAACGATAAGTATTCCCTAAAATGACATTTTACATGGAGAAATGTCAGTTTAAGGCATTCCTATCGTTAGGACTTCCCTAAAACAGTTGGTGGAAATGGCCATTATCCTCATAAAGGCCTGTGTATATCAAATCTCAGGCCCCCCACCAGGCCAAAGAACCAGTGATGACGTAGCAGCGTGTCGTCTCTTGCCTTGATGTAGGGTGTTTGCACTACAGGTTAAAGGTCTGTTCTCACAGGAGTCTCTGAAAGTTTGAAAACTGTCAGAAACAATCGCTCAGCTAAGTCACCGATTTATCATGGAACGACAGCATGACAGCATTGAAAACATGTATGGGCGATGTTTTCTCTGACAGTTTGCAAATTGTCAGAGACTGTTGGGAGAACAGACCGTATCATTCCGCGGGCTTTTGCTTCATTCACACTTGGTTTTAGTCCATTAATTAACATTCTAAAACAACGCTTTAGATTTCGTTTGCATCTTCCTCTTTGCCTATTATGTTAATCAAAATTGAATAAAAAATTTCATCATAAATGTATCTCAACTACGACCGCTAACGCAACAGTTGACGACGTTATTGATGACGTTGTCGATAGTGCTACACAATATGGCCGCGATTCCCAAAAACGAGGCCGATAAGCAATCCTGTGTAGTAGTGTGTATTATCCTTGAATTTAACTGACGTTTTTGAAACTTTGTGTCTGACGGATGCGTTTTTAAGACGTTTCTCACTTCTCGGACGTTTCTGTGCTATTATAATTTATTGGCGATTTCGACTACCGATGGCGGCGCTGACGTTTGTAAACAAATATGGCGGAAAACGAGTAATATTTTGACGTTCAGCATTGAAATTATATGCATTCGTATTTCTTTCGCTAATTTTCTCGTTGTTCCCGTAGTTTTTTCGGTGGTTTTTTACTATATTTTTTAAATTTTGAACCTTGTGACTTTCTTTTGTGCATTTCGTATCCATACAACACGAAATATGGAAAATGGAGGCCTCTGTTTTTGAGTTTGGCCACAGTTTTTCTCCGGTCTATCACCTCTTCTTGTCCCAGTACATTCAAAATTTTCACGCGATAGTATATTGTGTATTTAGGTGGAAAAGTGACACATTCTCGGCCGACGGTGTAAGTTGACACCGAAGGCCGAGAATGTGCTTTTCCACCGAAATACACATACTATTTTTTCTGCGATCGGTTAAATACCTGCTAAATGTTTGTCTTTTAGTTCCAATTATTCAGCAATACGAGAATCACTTTCCCGGCCTAGGCCGGAAAAGTGTTTCCCGTATTGTTATTCAATTTATTCCTTAGCAACTATTGAAACATAATTGAAATACCAGAATATTGGGTTTTGCGACCTGTCAACCGGTCAAAAATGCTGACATTTCTTGTCAATCGCAGAAAAACACTATTTTCCTTGGGAAAATATTGAAAATGAATAGTTCTGTCTGCACCTTTTCGGGAATGGCATTTGTATGCACAGCAGTTTGTTTTGTGCTTGGACTTGGACGCAGATGCCATTGAATTCCTGTAATAAGCATCTCACAGAATCACAATAAAAGCTATCCCTTTCCTCACTTTTCGACACAAAACAGCAGTAATTTAAATTAGGAACGAACAGAAAACATCGAAAAAGAAAGAAAATATTCCAATACGGTATGTCAACAAACAATCTATTACTCGTTAAGTTAATTCAAAATATTTCCGCTAGGTGCCGCATTGAATTTTGGAATCGCCACCACCATGCCAAAGCACCAGTTATGACGTAGCAAGCATGTCGTTTCTCGCCTTGACGCAAGGTTGTTTGAGAGAGGTAGGTTATGCTACAGTGACTTTAACCCACAGTGGCGACAATTGCTGTCTCATTTTTGATTGGTTCTAAAATGCCATATATTTATATTGAAAACGCCGCCATCTTGTTCCCAACCCCTTTGTTACTTTTAAATATGAATATATGGGATTGGTGAACATCCATCATAAATCATGGAAAACAACGTATTTGATGGACCTAATAATGGTTATCAAATACGTCGATTTCAATTTTTTATGATAGATGTCCATTTAAATCCCATATATTTAAAAGTAACAAGAGGTTGGGAACAAGATGGCGGCGGGACCTCTATTGTCGCCACTGTATGTAAAGGCTTATTTAGCCACTGTAGGTTATGACATCTATACTTAAGGGACGAATTTATAGTCGCTCCTTGAGGTTTCCTCAGTTCTTAAGGAAGCCTTGAACGTTTAGAATTGACATGACTTACTTGTCAAGTAGTAGCAAGTATCCATTCTAAGCTCACGATCTCCAAGGAAGACTCAAGAAACGACTATAAATTCGGCCCTAAAACGTTGATTATCGTTAAACCTCCCTTAAAATGGTTGGTGCATCATACCAAGGATGATACACACCTACAGGATTGCTTTGCTTATCGGCCTCATTTTTGGTAATCGCCGGCATATTGGTGTGTTACCATACCATTTCCGACATCATAACTGAGTCGTCACTCGTCTGCTGTATAAACAGCCTACGTCAAGGCGAGCACATAAAATCTGTGTTTTTTTAAAGATAATTCCCCAAGTCAAAAATTTAGTAACTGTTGGCAACACAAGCCTTTTCTACATGAAAAATTTGAAAGCCTTGACAATTTTACATTGTATTGCCAACCTAATGTCAGTTTGACTTTTATCTTTAAAAAAAAAAACGCACTTTACAAGACGAGAAATAACATGCTGCCTACGTCACAACTGGTAATTTAATTTGTCGTTAAGGGGTGTGGGAGGGGGGATTTGTTACACACAGGCCTTATGAGGATAGGCCATCCTAATTATTCATGTGTGTATCATCCTTGGGTACATACGGCCATAAGGATTTGGCCCGATTGTTTTTAGTAATCGCAGCCCAAGGTTGCCTGGTACTCCTGGTAGCCCAAGGTTGCCTGGTACTCCTGGTAGCCCAAGGTTGCCTGGTAGCCCAAGGTTGCCTTGCCTGGTAGCCCAAGGTTGCCCGATAACTTTATGACGTCATGTAGGGTGCCTCTTCATAATTCAATTTTTCATAAGGCACCCCAGATACGTCATCAAGTTATCTATTACCAGACAACCTGATCGCGGCCATATTGGTGTATCACCACTGCCGACATCATTAACTATTAGTCGTCAGCTTTTTGCGCCAGCGGTCCTAGTTTAAAATTTAAATTTATGATGAAAAATATCATTCAATTTTGATTAACATAACAGGCAAAGAGGAAGATGCAAACGAGATCTAACTAATGCAAACGAGAGCCGCTTTCGGGTGCTCCTAAAACACTTCACACCTGTCAGCACAGACTGTCAGTGACTTGTCATACTCCATGCGTTTTGCACTCGAACGCTTGACCGAACGGGTCAAACTGTAGCCGGAGTACGAGCCGGAGTACTTCGGAGTAGCTCGGGAGCGCTTAAAGGGTGGCACCACTGATGGCACCCGAAAGCAGCTCAGGTTCGGTTGTTCGGTACCATCTTTTCCGGAAATCCAGGAAGGAAAATAACAGTTTTTATGTGCTGCCATCTATCGATTTGTGTATAAAATCAACTTGATTCGTATAATTAATGAAACTACAACTGATTTTTGGTGATTCCGAGCCCACTAATTTACATTTCTGATCAAAAGCGAAAGACAGCAAGACTTTCCGGGAATCCCATAATAATTTCTACCTAGGTGCGGTTTTTAAACAAAAAATCGTAAAATCTGAAAATCTTCTTGACCTTTTGTAAGTGTGTGGTTATGTTCCTGTTTAGTAGTGTTTACTACACAACCAAATTATAATTTGCCTATATTTTTAATTTTCATTACCCTGGGTCAATGAATAAGGCTACATTAACATGACAAATAATTGAAATAACTGTTGAACCAAAAATAATTCGCTGACACTCGACCAATAACAATAAACACTGAACAGGCACAAAAATGGAAAGGTAAATATTAACAACAAAACTGTAACCTCCCAAAATGACGCTAATTACGATAATCAGAGACCCTCACCAACCACCCTTCGGACTCCCAGCAGATACAGACCCTCTAGAGGGCCCTTCTGCTGAACCCCAACAACTGAGCCCCAATACTCTAAAAGTAGCAGCCGCAGAATGCCTAAGCAGCTGGATAGGATACTTACAAATGCTCAACACTATGTGTGCTGCGGGAATGCGACTCGCTCAGTCTCTTTACAACTTAAGCCAAATGCAAACTGTTCCTATAGCCACTCAATGTATTACTAGCTGGGAGGATTTGAGCAGAGCTACAGCTATAGCTACCAGCTCTGTGAAAAATCACATAGCTGCAGCAATGCAGGACATGAGCATCGGAGACACTTTTACAGAATCCGATGCTCAGCGCCAACTAGAGCATAACCAGCACATAATCACTGAAAACTTGCTAACTTTTATAAATTTACAATATCAATTTTCAATTGCAAGTTGTGAGAATTTTGGTTCAATGGCTTTGTGTCCTTCTTGTCAAACCACGCCTGGCGGGATACATAATTCTGATTGCAGCATGGCCACTGTACAGCAGTGTTTCAGCAAACAAGAGACCCGCTCGCAAATGTCCAGTCCGAGAATGGAAGAAATGCCAAGGCAGCTCAGTCCTATGGCCGAAGCCAGGGGTTCGTCACCTTATCAAGAGCCCAGGGGTCCGAGTCCTATACATAGTTTTGCTGGACCTGGACCATTGGAAACTTTGAGAGGTAGATAATGGTTATTAAATTTTGATTATATTGAGTGTTTTGATGGTTTTTAGGTCCATTTCCTACTCCAGGGCAGCTGCACACAATGAAATTACCGTTTCCAGGTCGTGGAGGTCAAAGATCGCCACTTCATTTTCCTTTGTTTCCTTTGGGCGGGCCCCGGAGGTGGTCTGAAGCTGCTGCTACTGATGTCAGTGGAGCTGAAGGTAATTGTATATTAATAAAATCATGAAATTGTGTTTTATTATTTATTATGCGTAGTCTATTTTTTACCATTCTTTGTTTTGACACGTCTTGTATTGATTTGTTTAATTCCTGTAAAAATTGCAAAAACAAGAAATTCCTACAACCAGGAGTAATTTTTGATACCCCTTCCTTCAGAGCTTTAGAAAAATTGAAAAATTTACCCGACATTGTTTTTAACGCGGTTTTATCTCTGGAACTAGTCCAAATAGGCTAAAATTTTCAGGGATTGTAGTCCTCTAGTAAGATAAGATTCACTGAAAGTTTCAGCCAGGAGTTTGAAGTAGAAACCTCTCGGGAAACCTTTTACCTAGATTGATACAGACACAAAAATCTCTGGATAAGGTAATGAAAAAGTTTATTCAAGAGCTGAAAGTTTATACAGGTGGGCCAATTTGGGCACTTTCAATATGAAACATCAATTTCTGAGTCAGTCACAACACAACAAAATAATTCACCTTCCACTCTGAGTCTCAAATTTCATGAAATCTTCATTGGTTCAAACTGCATTTTGATATCTTTAACCGTTTTGCCGCAAAATGGTGGAAGATATAAGTGTCCGCATAGTTACAACCCATACAGGGTGCTTCCCACAATGTTTCCCTCAATGTTTCCTAATATATTGACACCCCATCTTCTAAGCTGTCTACATCCTTCAGATACCCGAGGGGTAAAAAAACTTATGGAACATGTGCACTCTACTAGGAACACTTTGGAAATACCTAGGAATACTTGGAAATCCTTGGGAATATGCTGAAAGTATATGGGAATACTCTGGAAGTACATGGAAATAATTTGGAAATATGTACATGGAAGTATTTGCAAATTTCTATGTTCGTTCTGGTTTGTTCTGGTTCAGTGTTTCACAGTATTCCAATTTTTTTCCGGTCAACTGTTGTTCCACTTACCCTAATTTTGAGGCAACTGAAACAGTGACCCCTATTTTCTTATGCATTCACATAATAATAATGATGATAAAATAGAATAATAATAGTTATTTATGCAATAAGTGTGTAAAGTGAACCTTTTTTGACGCACGAGCCGAAGGCGAGTGCGACAATCACATGAGTGAAAAAAGGGTGCTTTACGCACGTATTGCATACAAAATTTTTTCTACTTTTAATCAAATATGTGTAAAAAAATAAATTTAGACAAATTTTACGCACTAGTGCGTAAAGTATTTTCACTTTACGCACTAGTGCGTGAAGTAATTTACCAGAAAAATAGTAATTTGACAGGTTGACATCTGTCATTGACATTACTTTACGCACTAGTGTGTGAAGTGAACTACTTTACGCACTAGTGCGTGAAGAGAAATTTTACGTCTTCTGAATAGTGCGTAAAGTGAGTACTTTACGCACGGTAGTAGAAAAACCTATTTTCTTTGTAAGTAATCCATTTTTCATGGTGTTCAGCACAGTTGACAGTTCTTCTTCTACTTCATTCATATATTCCTCCACCACCTTATCCTCCCACCGACAATATACCTTTTCTTCTTGTTCCAAATACAAAGAGTCTTATTGTGGATCTTGGGATGTCATAGAAAATGGCAGCACCATATTGTTCTCTTAGCATTTTGGACATCTTCAATTGGTTTTTGAGGACCAACTTGGTGTATCTTCACCCATCCGCACTTTAGGAGGTTCTATGGTTATAATTCCTGACGATATTTGCTCTAGGACAATTGAGAATATGACAATACAATGTTAATTTCTGGTGGAACGGAAGACATGTTCCAGTTGGCCACATTATATATGTTCCATTTGCTTCTGTATGTATTTTTACCGGAGCAACTGGAACCCAAGCTGTTTCCATTACTCGAAATTCTGAGCCAAGAACAAACCTGGCTCACATTCACAACATCTTTCTCTCATAGTTGAACATGCTCAATGCAACTGTAATCACTCACTAACCATTGATCGAAATCCAAACTTCTGTCACTTGCTATTATACACTTTGTAAAAGTAACAAATTTCAATGTTTTTCTCAGAAACTAATCCGGCGTCGTTCTTTCTGCTACATGCAGGGTATGAATGAGACACACTTGTAACAAATTTTTATGCATGGGAAATTCAAATTTCAATAATAAGCCAAAAACTGGCATATGGCCCAGTTACCTCGCTGCGTCAGTTAACCAAGTTGACCTTACTTGGAAATACCGGGAAATACGAGGGGTAAACTGTCCAAAGAGAAGTATTCCCAGAAACTGGAAATCACTGTACGTTTTTTTGTGAGTGGTTGACCCCTCGTACAGCCTTCATTTTTTCACTTTGTAGAATAGTTCACAAAATCTACATTTCAATCAAACTTAAATCTCACTTGACTTGACTTCATTGAGCTTAACTCAAATGATTCAAGTCAGAGGCGCACTCTGAAGTTTTAAGCTACTTTTCCTTGTCTAGGTTTATTAGGACCTAATCCTGAGGCAACAGCTAGAAGATGGTCAATGCCCTGGGACACTGCCTGGATGATCGAAGGTTCCACCGTGCCAACACGACCAGGAAATCAAACCAAACTGTCAGTGCCAAGCGGAGGGCCTGGCAGTTCTCAAGAGAGAAGCCGCAGTACTACACCTGAATCAGTTGCATCTCAACCTTCAACAACTGCACAAGCAACAGGAGTGCTGCCCAGCGTTGAAGGGCTATCTGAAGCTATCCAGTTGCTGTCTTGTCGTCCTAGTAGGTCATCTATTCCTACTACTTCTATACCCGGCCATTCTTATGTGTGGGGGGAAACTCACGAAGATCGGATGCATAGAAGGATGTTTCCTTCACAAAGGTGGCAATCTAGATTTTTTTTTGGGGTTGTAAGTTTATTTGAATGTTTTTTTTTAGAGGAAATTGGCAGTCAGTTGATGTCCCTCACGCCAGTGGCATGTCTGTAACTGAACACTTTGATATTTTTCCATCTGGCTTGCCATTGACTTCGAGAAAAAGTAGCTCTTCTACTGATTCATCTTCTTGTTTGTCTATTCATAGCAGATCCACCGCCAGTGGTTCAGAAAGAGGCTCTACAAGTGAAGGAAGTGGACCTGTAAGTTTCTATAGTACTTATTGCCTATTGGGAAATGAAAATTGCTTTTTAGGACGCCATACGTTTACATACGAATTTATACTCAATGTGGAGCGGAAGTGAGCATCTACCTTTTATTAGGCTTCCTGAAAGTCAGGAACCGCAAGAAGATAGTGATACTGATGACCCTCCGACTGAACGTAGCGGTTTTAGCACATTCCCAAAACCTATATAGACTGATATTGGATTTGCAGGTCAGATGCATGAATAATATATTATTAAATTTAGGCATATCAAAAATTTGATTGAGAAAAAATCAAATATTATTTGGTGTTGCAGGCAGTGGTTGAAGTGAGAAATAATGACGGGGGGTATGTTCTATGAGCCAAAAAAAAAAAGGCAAAACATCTTCTGTTCAGCCAATATGAAAAATATTGAAGTTACTCTTACCAAATTATCACAAGTTTGCTTACTACTGGTCTTATTAGTTTTTAAGAGATTTTGAAAATTATTGTGTTTATAGTTTTACTGGAATTTTCTATGGTTTGCAGCCAAAGTATAGAGAAGCCGCCACAGAATTTCAATAATCGTGGTATCTCAGTTCTTGAGTTTGCTCAATTTATTGTTGGGAAAATGTAGATTTCCCTCCTATTATAAGAGAGGGCGCGTTGTATCTACGGATTGTTTAGTGTAAGAGCCGACAACAATATTCACCCTATAATTTTCATTGTCAGCAACCTATGAGCTATAAGTACATTCATTATTTTGTTTTCCAGCTTTGTGAAATAGATTTTACTTGAGACAATAAATCAAACTACATGGCAACTTAAAAGAAAAGTGTTGGATGGAAATATGATTTGTTTATGTATTTACAAATTTACATTGAAAGTGTGCACGTTCTCCTAAATGACAAGATAGTCTCACTTTGACCACTGAATGCAAGTGCAAACTAGCAATACTGCAACAAACAAAATCGCATGATTCAAGCTAGTTTGCACTTTCTCCTGCTTTTTCCTGGGTCTTATTGATGTCCGCTTAATAGAATATTCTCAGATATTACTCAAATGTATTCTCGATGTGATAATTGGGCCAAAAAATTATGTAATGAAGTCCCTGAATAATTTTGACAATCTTTATTTTTATGTCTATTTGTTGCTTATTGTCCCATTAGTTCTAGTCATGTAAGAATTAAGAACGGCTTTACTCTATGTACCCCCTTTGCTGGACGAAGGTTTTCTATTCTACTCAGCGGTATTTGTAGATGGATTCTACGTTAATTTAAGGTGAATGTAATAATCCAATAATAAAAGAAATTTAATGATTTTTATTGCCTTATTTATTATTAGCCTCCAACTTATATAACAATAATTATTATTGCAACTTGAAGCTATTTATTATTTAATTTATTAATCACTTGGTTCTTTTGTACAAAAATATACATACAAATATTTACATACAATTTAAATTATTTTAAACATATTTTTGGACCTATTGGGCAATCATTGATGCATTTTAAATGTGCACTTGAAACAAATAGGTCATGAATACCTACCATAAAGATGGCACTAGAGAAAATATCCTTCAAGAATTGCTAGTGCCTAAGAATTATGCTAATTTATTGTCAATTGCTTATGTGCAAATAATCTCAACACATCTTTACAAAGAATTCCGGCTAGAATGATTCACCTTAAACCTAAACTGTAACGAGAAATGCATTGTATGTAAGTCAACTTAAAAGCTGTGCTTTTACAAAAATAAATTTTGGTTTTAAAAAAATGCTACTAATAAATAAATAAAATATGGCTCAATTGACTAAAAAGTCTGTATATTTTAAATATACAGCCTGCAGTCTTTAAGAAGGGAATTTATCTATCAAATCTGTTAAATATCTTGTATATAGATAACAGAAACAGAGATTTTGATTTTTTGCTCATTTAAAAACTAATCGTTAAATTCATCATCCTCGTCATTTTCTCCATAATCCAACTCGTCATCGTCATCAATAGTGTTTTCCTGTGTCAAATCATCTATTGGACAACCACCACATCTGAAATAAAATCCCAAAATAATTCCTGCCTTATTGATGTTTTATTATTATTACCGGCTTTCATTAATTCCATAGTTAATGCATCTGTCGCCGACACATTCACAACACCCGTCGTGGAACCATCTATAGCTAGAAGCCCCCATGCTTTGACAGCTACTTTTACATTTTGTCCAGCTCATGCACTGTGACCAAAACGCAACGGTGCAATTAACCGTGTAAATGTTAGGGTTGGGTTTTTCTGGTATTACTTGTTGTTCGGCATTATTATTATTCTGTTCTGAAACAAAATTTTAATAAAAACATAATTAAAATTAAAGGTATACTTACGCATCAATAGTTTTACTTCTTTTTTGTTAGCGTACTGACTAATATCTATGTCAATGGGAAAAGTAGTGCTGTTCCAACGGCTGTAGCTGTCTGGGGCTTCGGTTAGGGCACTAAATAGGCCTGGAACTGTTTCCTGGAAGTCTTCAACATGGGATTTTTTGCTTAAAGGACTGCTGGTTGAATTTGGTTTTGGACACATGTCTAAAACACATCAATTAACAAATCGTTTATTTATTTATGTATAAACATGATTCTAAGAAAAGTTCAATTAGCGTTTAAGCTGTGCATCATTGATTCAGGAATTCGAAAAATGTTTTCATTGACACCCACATAATTTATTAAACATTTTGATTTAAAATAGCTTTACTACTTACCCACGCAAGAACAGCAATCGTTATATAAATATCCCAAGCAATTCAAGCAATCCTTGCAGCAAGTGCAATTGTCGAAATTGAAATCGCAATTGCAAGCTTTTGTGAGGAGGCATTTGCTGACTACGCTTCCGCAAACAGCTTCATTACAGCCTTCTACCGGTGTGAAGCTGGTACTGATCAAGAATAGTGCGACCACAATAGGAGTCCACAAATAAAGCATGCTGAAGCTGAAAAATATTTATGTTGATGAGACATAGCGGTATTGCATAACGAGTAATACTATTAAGGAAAAAAAAAGTGCGCACTTGTAATAGAATGAATTTTCCCACACCGCCACTGGCGTAGTGTAAGTATATAAAAAACAAATAAACATTATTTTGAACGGATGTGAAACTATTTTTACGCTAGTTAGCCAGCACAGAAGCAATATTGAAATGATTGTTGACACAGGAGAAATTGGTTTTATATCTTGTTTCCTGGATTTTCTAATATTCCAAAGAACTCTGGCAAATTTGATAAAAATTGTCCTCCTGTTCTCGGTTTTCGAAAGCATTGATTTTTAGCTTCAAAGCAAGCTGAATAGCTTCAAAAACTATGAGCAACTTGGAAAAGTTCATTTTTAAACTACGATGTTTTTTTGCTGTTCCCAAAACATGATTTGCTTGGAGCTCTTGAATCACATTTTAATATGAAAAACTGAAAAATCTTGTTTCTAACATTGACAAGAATTGAAGCTTGTGTTGTTCTAAAAACAGGCATTTTTGATTCAGATCATTGTTAGCAACTCAAAAATGACCTTGTAGCTCCTGAAATGCACTTTATTATGTAGAACATTCCTGGAAACACTGAAAAATATTGTTCAAACAAAACACTGTCAACAACTTGAAAATACTTTAAAAATTGCAATGTAAGCTTGTGTCTTTCTCAAAACACGATTCTTGTACTCAAATCATCGTGAGCAATTCAAAAATGCCTTGAAGCTCTTGAACTGCATTTCAGTTTGTGGAACATTATTGGAAACACTGAAAAATTTTGTTTTTGACTTCTCCAAAAACAATTTCTCAGCTACCGAAGCCTGTGAACAGCTTCAAACACTGTGAACACCTTGAAAATACTTTGAAAATTACGATGTTAGCTTGTGTCTTTCTCAAAACACGATTCTCCCAGTCAAATCATGGTCAGCAACTCAAAAATTACCTTGAATCTCTTGAATTGGATTTTATTATGTGGAACATTCTTGGAAACACTGAAAAATCTTGTTTTTGACTTCTCCAAAAACTATTTACAAGTTACGAAAGACTGTGAACAGCTTCAAACACTGTGAACAACTTGAAAATACTTTGAAAATTACAATGTTAGCTTGTGTCTTTCTCGAAACACGATTCTTCTATTCAAATCATCGTTGGCAACTCCAAAATGCCTTGAAGCTCTTGACTCTCATTCCATTTTGTGGAACATTCTTGGAAACACTGAAAAATCTTGTTTTTGACTTCTCCAACAACTATTTTGCAGCTACCAAACAGTGTGAACAGCTTCAAAGCACTGTGAACACTTTAAAAAATACTTTGAAAATTACGATGTTAGCTTGTGTCTTTCTCGAAACACGATTTTTCCAGTCAAATCATGGTTAGCAACTCAAAAATTACCTTGAAACTTTTGAATTGCATTTTATTATGTGAAACATTTTTGGAAACACTGAAAAATATTGGGCTCGACTTCTCAAAATCTATTTCTCAGCTACCGGAGACTGTAAACAGCTTCAAGCACTGCGAACAGCTTGAAAGTAGGTACTTTGAAAATTGCAATGTATAAGCTTGTGTCTTTGTCAAAACACGATTCTTCCAGTCAAATCATGATGAGTAACTCAAAAATGACCTCGAAGCTTGTAAATTGCATTTCCTTATGTGTATTATTCTTGGAAACACTGAAAAATCTTGTTTTTAACTCCTCCAAAAACTATTTCTCAGCTAGCTACCCAAGACTGTGAACAGCTTCAAATAATGTGAACACCTTGAAAATACTTTGAAAATTACGATGTCAGTTTGTGTCTTTCTCAAAACACGATTTTTACAGTTAAATCATGGTCAGCAAAAAAAAAATTACCTTGAAACTCTTGAATTGCATTTTATTATGTGGAACATTCTTGGAAACACTGAAAAATCTTGTTTTTGAGTTCTCAAAAAACTATTTCTCAGCTACTGAAGACTGTGAACAGCTTCAAACACTGTAAACACCTTGAAAATACTGTGAAAATTACAATGTTATAGTGATGCCGCGAGACTCGAGACTGGTCTCGTCTCGTCTCCTCTCGTCTCGACTTTTCGAGACGAGACCAGACCCGGCGAGACTCTCGAGTCTCGAGATTACAATCAAAATTTTTCTTTCATAGCTCTTTTATTGTATTATTCCTGGGCTATTCAAATATGAAAGCAGAAATTTTTTTTATGTCAAATTAAAAAAAAAAATGTCGATAAAAAAGTCTTTGAAAAAAGAATCACCCTGCATTTTTTTCGTACATTTTTATACTATCTAACAATATTAATGGGATGATTTCTACATGAAGTTCGTTTTCACGAGGGTTTATACTTTTGACATCAACGACGTCATAACTTGAAAAAAAAAAAGGTTGTCGTAGATTACGTAATCAGAATTTTCAGTAACCATCTGTCAACCGATTCGGTCACTGGTTAACGTTTGGTTATATTTGGACCATAGCCTACTAATTCATGTGACCCATTCAATTTTTTTAACAAAATAAAACATGATAGTCCAGGAGGCAGTGAAATTTTTTAGCACTTATTTTCCTAGTTGGTGCATATTAAATAGTTTGTTTTCTTAGTCACACAACACAATAATTTTCTAGTCTGGCTGAAATTTTTGGATGGGTTTACAAGATGAATTGAAAATACAAGTGCACTTATTTTCCTAGTCATAAATATTCCACATTTACTAAAATAGAACATAAAGTATATGAGAATAGCAGTCTGGCTTATCTTAAGTCACGGAATGTGAGTCTGGCTAAAAATTTTCGGATTCAAAAATTTAACCGATTTTGCGGATCGGTTACCCTTATTTTTCCAAGCTTGAAATTTAGCATATAAATTGATACTATCATTAACTGTAATTAAAATTAAAGTCTGGCAGCTTCACGGAATTGGCAAATGAGTCTGGCGGCATGTTCAAAATCGGGAAAATAGAAAATATTTGCCCTTATTTTCCCAAGTTTGAGAATTTGTCATACGATAGATTATACTTTAGTTTTACAGGAAATACACGTCTGGCTGTCACATACAATCACGAACTGTCAGTTCGACCAGTATTTGATGATATGAATATTATTTTGTATACATGCAACAATAAAAGACATTTATTATTATTATTATTATTATTATTATGATGATAGTGATATTATGATGATAATGATAGCGATGACGAAGAAGAAATTGATAAAGATGATTAATTTTAATTAAATTTTCTATTCATCATTTAAATATTGATTATTAAGTATGTTTGAATAAATATAGTTATATATTTTTCCCGAGATTTTTCCTTAACCAGATTTTGGTAGATACGTAGGTACATTACTCAAAATACCATGCAAAATAGAGTCTTTTTGCATTTTTATTAAAATTAATGAATTCGTCAATAGTTATCTACATTCCAAGCATTTCGCGCACTGGATATAAAAATAACTAATTTTTATCTTGAATAGGCATGCGAAAGTAGAAGTGACTATTATACTAGCATGTTTCAATTGCGTTTTCGCTCGCCTATGCAAGATAAAAAAATGTATTTTCGTAGGGGTGGATGAAACAAATATAACATGTACGTACATGTGACACTAATAACCTGTATAATCGAATCGAATTTAGCGCGCCTGCGATAATTCGACAAATCTGGCAAGGCCTTGGGGGTGTTCCATATTAGCCAGATTGTATTTTAAGCTGACATTATAATATAGGCCATCATCAGATAAATTTTCATGACTGCGAAAATTAGGGAAATTTTTTTGTTGAAAATTTTTCAAGTTTCCACTTGCCAGACATATTATCCATATTCACAGATTAGCCAGACTAATTTTTTATGTAATTTCAGTATACCTCTTACTTGTAGAAATATTTTTATCACTTGAAAAAAAAGGACCCTGGCTTCGTATGTTCTGACGCATTTTCCGCCACAACCCATCGGAAAACCCCCCCCTAAATATATATGAATTTTGCTTAGAATTACTGACCCTACAATTCTATTCATGTTTCGTGACTGGGAAAATAAGTACTTACCGAAAATCGTCACTGCCTCCTAGACTATGACTTCTGGTTTAAGAAACGCGTTTTTGACATCATTGATTTGTTTCACTCAATTTCCATTTGTTAAAAAAGGAAGGCAAATTATGTCAAAAGTATAAACCCTGTGAAACAAAGTGTAGCTACACGTTATTTCCAGATTCCAATTTCGGTTTAGCCAGAAGTGAGATCAATTTAAAAAAATGTTTGAAGCTTAAGAACTTTCGGCTAAACTGGAAGTTAGATCTGAAGATAAAGTATGTAGAAAGGATCCCATTCATTCACAAGAAAAATACAGGGTGATTATTTTCTCATACCTGCTTTTTTACTGTGGCAGTTTGGAGTTTGGACTAGGTACCGTTATAATATAAAAATAAAAACCATAAATACATGATGAGGGTGTCAGGAAAATAGCGTAAAATCTCTCCACTATGTAGTAGGAGATTCTTTTTTTACCCTGGGCGCAATGTTGTATGTATGACAATTGACAGGTGAGGCGGTGTCAGCTGTCAAATATTGGAATGTATTCAGAAACAGAGAACCTAACTGTGACAGATTTTGATGAAGTAAATATCGATTTCTACGAAGTGGACCAAGGTAAATCGAAAAATGTCAACCCCTGCCAAATGGCAGCATTCATATTTTTCAGTTTTCAATATTTCATGATGTGTCATTCGACATTTTTAAAAAATAGAACTGTTAAAACCTGTCATTTGTTTTCGTAGAAAAATAGATGATTCCAATCTGGTTCTTTTTCGTTTCAAGGTAGTTTATTGGTGATAAAACATTAAACAAAGCTCATAGATATCAAATTTTGACAGTTGACAATAGCTTTAATTGTAGAAAAATCTAATCTTAGTTGATTATGAGTTATGCTTATTTATGATGAAGCATGAAAAACTTTAGAAGTAGATTTCAGATTTTGATAGCTGTCAAATTTGATGTCTATGAGCTTTGTTGTTTGTTTAATGTTTTATCACCAATAAACTACCTTAAAACGAACAAGAACCAGACTGGAATCTTTTTGTCTACTAAAACAAATGACAAGTTTTGACAGTTCTGTAATTTTTTTCAATTTTTGTACTCAGAATTTACATAAGTTAAAAATGTCAAATGACACATTATCATGAAATGAAAGCTGAAAAATATGTGTGCTGCCGTTTGGCAGGGGTTTGACAGATGTCAAAATGGTTGAGAATTTTCGATTATCTTGGTCAACAATCTATATTCACTTTATCAAAATCTGCCATAGTTACTCTGCTTCTAAACATTACATTCCAATATTTGAGAGCTGACACCGCCTGTCATATATACAAGGTTAGGGTTCCGCCCAAGGTAAAAAATGTTGCTTCCCCAATAACATATTTAAATTTCATCCAAATATCACGGGTGACTAATTTCCATTCAAATATTGCGGGGTTCTTTATCGTTAACCTTTAAAAACATCATCAAAATTTTAAATTTCAGTAAAAATTGGTCTGACAACATTTTTTAGTCACCTTCGAATTTTTCATGTCATTCATTTCAATTTGTAAAAAAAATTGAATGTCATGAAAAAATCTACGACAACCCTTTTTTTGCAAGTTATGACGTCATCGATGTCAAAAGTATAAACCCTCGTAAAACGAAATGTATTTGATTAAATTCTGTGACAAATTACCATATTCTGACAAATATTAAAATGCAAATAACTTTCTCAAAAACTCCACCAGATTTTTTAAATCATTTTCTTGGGTTCCTTGAAGGGTCCTTCACCACGTAGGTAGTGAAGAGTTTTGACGCTATTTTTTGGATACCCTGTATAACTCGAGACCAGACGGGACGAGACTTTGGTAGTCTAGACCGAGACTAAGTCTCGGTCTCGTCTCGAAGTATCGAGACGAGACGAGACCAACGTTAAAGTCTCGTCTCGTGGCATCACTACACTGAAAAATCTTGTTTTTAACTTCCCAAAACACTACTTTCCAGCTACCGAAGACTGTGAACAGCTTCAAACACTGTGAACACCTTGAAAATTCTTTGAGAATTACAATGAAAGCCTGTGTCTTTCTCAAAACACGATTCTTCCAGTCATGGTCAGCAACTCAAAAATTAACTTGAAACTCTTGAATTGCATTTTATTATGTGGAACATTCTAGGAAACACTGAAAAATTTTATTTTTTCACTAGAAAATTATTTCCAGCTACTGAAGACTGTGAACAGCTTCAAACACTGTGAGCACCTTGAAAATACTTTGAAAATTACAATGTAAGCTTGTGTCTTTCTCAAAACACGATTCTTCCGATCAAATCATGGTCAGCAACTCAAAAATCTTATTTTTGAATTCTCCAAAAACTATTTTCCAGCTACCAGAGACTGTGAACAGCTTCAAGCACTGTCAACACCTTCTTGAAAATACTTCGAAAATTACAATGTAAGCGACTTCTCAAAACACGATTCTTCTATTTTAATCATCTTTAACAACTCAAAAATGCCTTGAAGCTCTTGAATTGCATTTCATTTAGTGGAACATTCTTGGAAATACTGAAAAATCTTGTTTTTGACTTCTCAAAATAGTTATTTTTGTATCTAGTGCGCGAAATGCTACTAGCTATTTCGCGCACTAGTGTGCGAACGTTAAAAAATCAATACCTGAGAAAAAAAGTGTCACTTCGCAAACTGTCATGAGTGTGCGAACATCATCATTTTTTGACAGTTGTAGAAAAAACTATTTCTTAGCTACCGGAGGCTGTAAACCAGCTTCAAGCACTGTGAACAACTTAAAAGTACTTTGAAAATTGCAATGTAACCTTGTGTCTTTCTCAAAACATGATGCTTCTATTCAAAAACTGTGAACAGCTTCAAACACTGTGAACAACTCGAAAATACTTTGAAACTTACGATGTCAGCTCGTAATCTTGTAATTTTTTTTTTAATTTGGTCATCTAGATGGACAAAACAAATTTCGTTTGGTAATCCTCGTAAAATGTTGTTCGTGACTCCTTGAAAAGTAGACGGGGCCTTTTTTGAGCCAAAGGGCATGCTCGAGAATTTATAATGTGCTAAAAGCTGTTTTTGGAATATCTGATTCATTCATCATTTGAATTTGGTAAAAGCCATTAACAAGATCTAATATAGTAAAGCTTTAACCAATTTATCTAAAATTTTGCATCTATTGTTTTATCGTTTAGTTTTGTAATCAATGACCATACGCCATTTTTGTTTTCCCCAGTTCTCCGAGTTTCTTATAATATTCTGAGATAGTAATTTGGAACTTGGTAGTTTAACCTCGATCCTCTTTATATACTTCTGTACTTCCGAGTATCTTTTACTTTATTTGTAAATTTTTGCATGAATTGGAGATTCATCAGTCAATTCAATTTCGTGTTTAATTGCATTTGTAAAGCTTGAAGGAATGTCTCCACTATGAAAAATATCTCTAAATTCAAAATAAAGTTTACGAGTTCGTTCTTTTTCTTCCCGATTACGGTTTAAGTTAATATTTTTTAGATTGGCTTTGAGTTTATCATCATTTCTTTGTCTATATTTCCCTGATAAAAGGGCTGATCGACAAAATTTAACTTATTAATTTGAATAGGTTCTATATCTTGTATATGGAATATTCTTGGGAACACTCAAAAATCTTGTTTTTGACTTCTCCGAAAAATATTTTCCAGCTACCAAAGACTGTGAACAGCTTCAAGCACTGTGAACCCCTTGAAAATACTTCGAAAACTACGATGTTAGTTTGTGTTTTTCTCAAAACACGATTCTCCCAGTCAAATCATGGTCAGTGACTCAAAAATTACCTTGAAACTCCTGAACTGCATTTTATTAAGTGAAACATTCTCGGAAACCCTGGAAAATCTTGTTTTTGACTTCTCAAAAAACTATTTTTCGGTTATCAAAGAGTGAACAGTTTCAAACACTGTGAACAACTTGTGGTATTCTCAAACCCCAAATTTTTGATTCAAATCTGTTTGAGAAACTCGACAATGAACTTGAAGCTTTTGAATCATATTTTAAGATCTGGAACAATGAAAAATCTTATATTTGGCTCTTAAAAAACTAATTTTTAGGCCTTCAAAAACGTCCGCAAACTCTGTGAAACAACTTCAAAATACTTTCAAATCACACAAGCTGAAAGCCTCTTTAAGCTTCAAAATTTTGTTAACTTCAGAACAATATGAGCAACTCGAAAGTGTTCTCGAAAGTTTTTGTGGTATTTCAATTGGTGGACCACTGAAAAGAAAATTAGTGAAAATAATGTCAGTAGAAGCCTGATACCTCAAGGGGCTTAGGCAATTTCAACGGAAAAACCTGAAAGGTAAAGTTAGTAAACTTGAGTAAAGATCCGCATGGAAACTCCTGTAGAAGACCTCAAAAAGAGTGGAAACCTTGGAGTGTGTAAATTGGTGGAAAACGTAACAAAGATTAGACAATACCCGATAGTTTATTTTTACTTTAGAAACTGAATAAATCACAATTTTTCACTCATCTCAACTTTCTTCTATAATCCAGTTTTCCGCCACACCATTTCTATTGAAGAATATATTCATTCAATGTTGAATTCTCATAGTGAATAGTTTAAAGTTCATCCATTCACCTGATGCAGGACATATGCAGGTTTTTCTGTATGATGTGACAGTGAGTGCATTTTCTGTATAGGTTGCCAATTTTTTTTTAAAGTGATGTTGCTCATAAAGAATAATCTGGTTACAAAAGTAAATAAAACTTTTTCCCATTTTATTTGTTACAAAACCCCTTACATCCATCTGTTAATTATCAAAAAGTTAATTTTCCCATTTACACAAACGCATTATTTTATAAATTGAAGCCAGCAGCGTGGGCCCTTTAAAAAAAAACGGACAATCTTCATTAATTAACCAATTGCACCATCCACAAACATTCTTAACACGCTCCTAGTATTATTATAATATCCTAATTAGTATTCTCTAAGCATCACGCATCTTATACACCTGCCGCATTAATTAAATTAAAATAATATACCTACACACAAGTGAAAACTCACCTTTAGAGATCCGCTTCCTGCTGCTTCAAATATCCTGTATTCCTTGTTTGTAATGTAAACACCAGATTGCACACTAGAAACGCACAAAAAACACTATAATTTTTCTCAAGCAAGATTTGCTGAGGCAAGGCTGAGAGTGAATGCTAGACTGAGTGTTTTCGAATTCAGGTTTCCTCATTTGTGCTTTGGGCGGCCGCAGGCGGTCGACTTAAACTTAGGTAGTCGTCTGGTGTACGGTATTTCAGTTGGGTACGATTACAGGGACGGATTTTGAGAAAGTACTATTACGTTTAAAGATGGAAGAATAGGAAGGTAAAACAAGGATGAAGCATAATTCCTGAATTCGCCTCTGAAAACTACAAGTGCATAATTCCGTCCACATACCTGTGACCAGACTCTTTGGTGCTGATACAAATACAACCTGTATTGTCACCTAGACTTGAAGTTTTATAGCAATGTGACAATCAGGCCTATGATGTATCCTCTCCTGTTATTTTAACAGTTGTGTTATAGCTCGAAATCTATATTTGTCTCTATTTTTACGCGTAGAATAAACAGTGACAAATAACTTAACGTTGCTGTTAAAATAACAGAAAATTATATATCCGAGGATATATAAGCCTGAATATTGTAGTTTAATTTTTATTAGGTACTAAAAAGTCAAGGTTAATTGATTATGAATAAATAATGCATTAAAAAAAAAACAAACAATCCTTTTGTTCTCCTCCGCCTCTGTTTCAAAGGCTATAGTCACAGAGATGGGCCAGCATCATTAAAAATTTCAGGAATGCACTCTGTGAGACCCGATGGCGACCACCAAAGAAGTTCTCGGGATATTGTCCCAGTCGGTACCTACAAGATAGTAGGTACCACCTTGCTAGTGGTGATGAGCTAATATTTACAATCGGATAATATTTGGGTGTCGATTCAATTAACACAAGAACCATTTAGGTTTTACAAGTGAGAGCAATAAGCAATAGGGAAATGATTTTGATTAAGTATATTTTTTATAGTAATTTACCATTTTTAGTATCTACATATAAATTGTCCCAAATGGTAAATTGTATATCCATGACTCATATTCTTTCTCAAAATTCCTCAGCACCTCTTTAAATTCTTGGCGCTAAACCCTAGCCGTTATAAATCACACATTTTTCCCTAGACAGGTACCATACTTGTTTTGTTCGGGGTAAAAGGTACTTGGAAGTCAAGCTAGAGGCAGGAAGTGCCTAATTAGACACTCTTGAAGAGGGGTAATCGATAATGATAGGGCCCTATGAATGAAGTCATTCTCGGAGAAGAGCGGCATTTGACTTTTATCTGCCCATGTAGAAGACAAAGCTATTATCGTTTTGAAACAATACAAAAAAAAGGGCTTTTATTGGCATTGAGTTGAATTTTATGACATCAGTGGCGGAGAAAGAAATAAATTATTATTACTAATATTATTATCATTATTCTCAATTTCTCTATGAAAATCGGTATTTCTTGATAGGTTAAGAGCTCAGCAAGAGTTCAAAGGAACCTATCAGTTTATTCTAACACTTTTCTTAGGATGTGTGCAGTGCCTAAGAAAGCAATTTTTTGTAGCATCATAGATGAGGGACGACCTAGTATTTCACTTGTTCTTTGCTCCAGTTCTTTTGTGAAGGTACCTAATGCTCTAATCACTACAGGAACCATCCTTGTATTTTGACATTCCACTTCGCTGCCTATACTTTCTCGTAATAGTTTTAATTGTGTTTCAGGTACCTTGCGCTCTCTGACTATAAATCTCCTTTGGTGCTAATGTCAATGGGTTCAAATTAGGAAATATATATGGGTTTCTTTCTCTCTATATTGTGCGTATGTTCCTTTAGTGATTCCACCCAGTGCCGGCCCGAGGTTACTTTTAGGATGGAGCGAGGTCTGACTTTGGCGCCCCTAATAGACCGATCTCCTATTACCTGGACTGCGCGCGTCGCTTGTAGGCTGCAGGTGAGCGTCCAATGAGGAGCAAGTTTGTGACAGGCTTGCGTCATATTCTTATTCAAGGGCCAGTTCAGAATGAATCGTTCCTTCTTTCTTTGTAACGTGTAATTTGACAAAGAGCAAACTAATACATCACATATTACTTGAACTCACCGCAGTTTCGTTTAAGGTTATTTTAGATTATACTTGATATATTCCTTTGCAATCTCATGAGCGATGTTGTCGGATGAAACATTTATCAAAATAAAAGTGCAAACGATGTTCATCCACTTTAAAGCTCTTTTTTGTCTGATTTAAGGCGTTGTAAAACACTGACACTATATTACTTCTTTAATGTTATAATGTTCGATTTGTATTGTCTACATTTGTTGTGCAACAATACAATCTGGCTACACTGCAGCCTACGAGTTGCGCGCGCATGTCATCTTTTATTGCTTTCTAACTTGTAATTATTACAATTAAGTTCTCTTTTTCTAATCATGCGAGATAGGTCTATTGAGCTCTCTTTTTCTAATCATGCGAGATAGGTCTATTAAGTAAATGTGAATCGTGTACTCTATCCTACGATCAGAGTTCTAAACTTAAAATGTCAAGTAAATTGACTTGAATTTCCCAAATTCAAGTACAAGTACCAAATTCCACGAAAGTCAGAGTCAAGCTAGTATTTACTTAAACTTGCGTAGGTACTTGAAATGACATTCATGTAGAAATACTTCAAAAAATAATTTAGGTATTTTTTCTTCCAAGTATTATTCGAATTAAAAACAAATTAAATTATTGCATTCGATAATCTTAAACGGGGTGTGACCCAAAAATAAGTTTTAGAAAAAAAAAATCTTAGAACAAATTTTCAAACCGCACTAGTTTACGACCAACCATTGCGAAGATACTGTGATATAAAATTCCTACTCTTAGCACTGTCACGTCATATGCACAAACTGAGCCCGACAGCCGGCGCTGGCGCGCGTTTGCTGATTCTTGCTGCATATGTTAGCTCAGTTCGAACCGACACGAGAACCGTTCCATAACCAGTAATTTCCAGTTGTCCACCTATTTTTCAATAAGTTGAACATTTATTCTACTTGACAAATGAATTGATCAACTGGAAATTACCGTTCTAATGTCGGTGGCTGGGTTTCGGCTGCTGTCTTATCACAGACTCACCACCCTTTTGCTCGCAAGCAGAATAGCAGAATATCGAAAAGCGAAGACAGGATTCAGAGCAGTGTGTCTATCTGATTGTAAAAATCATAGCTCCGTTATCCTGGACTATTTCTCCATAAAATTTCAATATGTTGAAGCTTCCTTAGTAAATAAAAAAGAATTGGTTGATCTAGGTTTCCAGAATTTTTAGAAAACAAAATCATGAATGAGGCTATCGGGCTATGGCAAAGATATCACTAAGGGCGGGTATTATAAAACTGCTTTGACAGTTAACTTAAAGTTAACTTTTTGAATTACATGTAATTCCAGAAGTTAACTCTCAGAGTAGTTTTATAATACCCGCCCTAAGTGTGTCTATTTATTTGTAAAAATCATAGCTCCGTTATCCTGAACTATTTTTCAATAAAATTTTAATATGTTGAAATTAAAAGCTTCCTCAATAAGCCAAAAAATATTTGGCTCCTTCAGGTTTCCCAGATTTCCAGGAAAAAAATCAGAAATCAGGCCATAGGCTGTAATGCAAAAATATCACTCAGTGGGGCTTTTGAATTAAAAAAATCGCAACTCTGCCATCTTTGGTTTTTTTCGACTCAAAATTTGGTATGTTTAAGCTAAAAGGCTCCTGGATATATGAAAAAAATTTACATTTCCCAAAGTATTCCAGATTCAAGGGAAAAAATCAAAAATTAGGCTATAGGCTGTAATGCAAAAATATCGTTCGGATTAAACAGATTTCAGAAACATATTTTTCTCTTTTTTTTTTCACCAAGGAACAGGTCGGAGGCGCTCCTCGAGGTCTGGCGCCTGGAGCGCTCGCTCCATTCGCCTTATGGTAGGGCCGGCCCTGATTCCACCGTCAGTTTTATTTTGTTCCGCCTCATAATAGCACCGCATAACTTCTAGATATTGTTCAGTCGTCCATTTTTGTCTTTTATTAGTGTTATGTTTCGACTGATCTTCATCAGGTAGGCCATTTTCAGACTGTCTTCTGGGTTTAGGTACTATCCGTTGGTTCGCTGGTTGTTTCTGGGGATATTATTGCTTGGACTGCGTTCTTAGGGTTTCCAAGTATCGGATGGCTAGGGGCCTCTACCGGATTTAAAAGTTCAAAATGCCCATTCTCTGGATCTCCTAGCAATAAAAGATAGATACTCTTTTTAAAATTTCTTTTGGAGATCCTGGTAGGTTGACTACTTGAACAAAACTCTACGTTGCTAGTAGGCCTGTTTTCTGATGAGTATATACAGAATGTTACTTTGTATATTTCTGATAAAGCTAGTATTTCTAGACTTGTTCCATAAGTCGTTTCTTTATTCATGTAAGTACAGTATTGATTCTTGTTTCTAAGATTTTCATCGTTGACCAATATGAATTCTTGAACCTTGTCCAAGTTTCGGTATATGTATTTCACGGCCTTTTCCTAGAGGTTAGGCGTGGGTGTCCTGAGAGCCATCCAGGTACAGACGGACCGCTCTAAAGAGGCAACTCCTGTCACCAATTGTTTTCGATCTTATAAATATTTGGCCTTCCTTACTTGCGGTATCTTCCTTTTTTCTTATTTGTCCTGTTCTTCTACCCACTGTGTTAGTGCCAGACCCTGTAGTACCATTTCGCAAAGGAGCGCTATTTGCTCCACTTCCATTTGCTAGGGACTGATCAGTCCTTTCCATTGGTTTAGACCCATCACCAAGGGCTTTTTCCGAGGCATGTTTATTATTTTTGTAAGCATTACTTATATTCTCACATTTCCCAGGTCTATTAAATGTGGTTGTTTCTTCCTCTTGCGTTAGCCTTTGACCTAAATTCTTTCTATCGGGGTTGGTTACCCGATCTCAAAAATGAGAAGCAAAAGTTACCGGAGTCGACCAAGCTAGGAGGTGCAAGTAGGAATTGAATAGGAGGGGTGCATCCTACCCCTTTTATTATTATCATTATTATTATTATAGGTTTGAGCAGCAGTAAGCGGCAACGCCGATGAGACTACTGCTGTATTGCCTTATTTTCACTGTTATGAGTTATGAGTCACGTGTCACATGCGTCACATGTTATGTGCAAAATTCAGTCTACCTCTCTCCAAAGCTGGGATCACAACGAATATAATTCTACTTTCATGACGTCACTCGAAACCTATTTATCGCGTACAGTACAGGCGATAATGATGGTTGTTAGGCAACCTGACGTCATAAAAGTAGAATTCTACTTGTCGCGATCCCAGCCCAGGTCCCGGTCAAGTCTGTTTTTGAATGCGTCCTTTGTAGGAGCACTGACTGTGCTTTCCTGAAGAGCGTTCCAGTGATGACTACCCTATTCGTCAGAAAAAAAATTCTGATTAGCTTCGAGCATCTCTCCTTATCCAGCTACTTAATTTTTGTTCGTCTCGATTAAGTTCCCTCTCTCTCGTCTAGCTTTTAGAGTTGTTACGTCGTATCTTATAATAGTCTTTCTTCGTATGAGAGATTTCTGATTTCAGAGGGGAGTTTTGTCGCTCTACGCTGGACTCTTTCCAAGATCTCAATGTCCTTAACCAGGTATGGGCTCCAATTTAGGTCTGATATATGTTTTATATATTCAGCTATTCATGGGGATGGACCAGTCACTGAAAGGTATACAAAAGAGTTTGTCTTCTTCACAACTGAAAAAATATTGGTTTCCCATTTTAGGTGATTTGAGATAATGACACCCAGATCTTTTTGCTCAGTGACAGTCTTCACGATAGTGCCGTTCAAGCTGTAAGGTGTGTTTGAATTCCTAGAGCCAATGTGCAGTACAGTGTACTTGTCGGGGTTGAGTGCTAACTGCCATTCGCTGATCCATTTCTCGAGTGTTTTAGGTGGTTTAGAGGGTTGTGATGCTCCAAGCATGGATTGCAGTATATTTTTGTGTCATCGGCATAAAAATGATGTTAGTCGGTATAAGAGAATAAGATAGCTGATGTATAGAGTAAACAGCAGTGGCCCCAACACCGATCCCTGTGGCACCCTACCAAGGACCTTGTATTCATTAGAGTAATGCCCATTTGCTCTCACTTGAAAGTTCGGTTTTGTAGAAAACTGCCTATCCATCCAAGAAGCTCACCCCTGATTCCAAAGTGTTTTAGTTTGAATAATAACCTCTTGAATGCCACTTTGTCAAATGCCTTCTCATAGTCTAGGTACAGTACATCCACCGGATGGCCACTTTTTTCGTTCATGAATTTATGCAGGTGAGTAGGGTGGTTGTGGTTAATCGTTGAGGAAGAAAACCGTGTTGGGTGAGTGGGACGGTCTTCTTTTTATAACGGATAGATGTAATTTCCTGAACTATTATTTTTTTTCGTGATCTTGCAGAGGTTACGGGTAAGGCTAATTGGTCTGTAATTTCCAGGGTTGAGCTTGTCTCCTTTTTCGTAGACTGGCACTACGTATGCTCGAGACCATACCTGTGGCAGTTTGCTGAGTGATTAGTGACTGCAAGAGGCCGGTTATCACTGGAGCCAACGTCCTTTGGCAATTTATTAAAAATATTGCTGGTATTTCATCCAGGACTGGACTAGATTCTCTTTTCAGAGTAGAGATTGCGTGAATAACCTTTTCCTCAGTGACATCTTTGGTTGTTAATGCTCAATAGATCTAGTATTCTGCAATAGCGATGGAAAATTTACTAAGTTTTCCCTGGTGTATACCTTCACATAGAAAACTGTTTCTCGTCTCTGTTTTCCAAGAGACTAAGAGACCATTTTCGTATTCTATCCTGGATGCTTTGATTGTGTTCTTTAAGCTGTTATTTTGAGTTCTGTACAAATTGTAACTATCTGCTGTTTCGTTCTTGGCGTATTTATCCCAAAGTGTTCGTTTTTTCTAAATTATTGCATTATTTAACCATGTTATTTTTATGATTCAGAAGCTTAGGTTTGAGTGGGACATAGGTTTCAATGGTTTCCTTCACTATGCCTTCAAATTCACTGAATTCCATATTGTCAATATTTGTGCCTGCAAGCATGTTATTAATATGAACATTATTGCTGTCATAGTCTGCCTTCCAGAATTTATGTTTGTTATGTTTATGTAATATTGTTTGACGCAATATCAACTTCATCAAATGGTTCTCTTAGATCTTCCCCACAGATTTGTGATCCCTAGGTTGAAGTTTTCTTTGAATCTACATTTTTTTGTCTCATCTAGCACTTACAAGTGATATCTTTTGCAGCATCATTTTCAACACAGGCCCAATAGTATGAAGCCATACACTTGAAAATACCTGTTAAAACCTGCATAGTTCAAACATTCCTAGACAACCTACTGCATTTTATACTTTGAAAACATAAAAACAATCTCAAAAAAAAAACTCTTTTTTTTTAAAATTAACAAACAATATTATCTACATTATCCATAGTCTAACTACAAATCACGTGGCTATAGGTTTTGATGTTTCATCATTTGAACTAACATCTCCCGCATCTTTTCTGATATTTTCTTCAAACTCCGCAGGATCAATTAACTTTTTCTCGCCATAAGGTGGAGGACCTAATAGTTTTTCTACATCTGCGTAATTGAGTGTTTCTTGTTTCAATAAAGTTTCTGCCAGCTGGAAAACAAAACTTAAGTGCATTGAAGCCTAAAACATTCAACTTACCAACTGAAGTTTGTCTTTATGCTTCTTTAAAACCTCTTCTGTACTTTGATAAGCTTTACCAACAAGTTTTCTCGATTCAATGTCTATCAGGCTAGCGAATTTTTTGCTATAAGGCCTCCTCCCTATATAATAAAAATCAATTTAAATTTAAAAAAAAAAAAAAAACACTTCTCCATATAAACACTTACCTAATTCTTTTGTTTCTTGTTCAGGAAAGCTTACCAAACCAACAAACTCATTCATGCCATACTCTTTAACATTAGCATAGGCCATTTTAGTAACTTTTTCCAAATCATTCTGTGCCCCGGTTGTGATTTTATTGAAAGTCAAAGCTTCAGCTACTCTGCCTCCCAAAGTCATGCACATCCTGTCAAAAAGTTCCTCTTTAGTATAAAGTTTCTGGTCTTTCGGTATGTACTGGGCAAATCCAAGTGCCAAACTGGTTCTTGGCACTATGGTGACTTTTAAAAGAGCGTCAGTATGTTTTAACATCCAACCGACTAAGGCGTGGCCAGATTCGTGGTATGCTACAATACGTTTTTCTTGAGGAGACATCGAGTGCGATCTTTTTTCAGTGCCGCCAACAAGTCTTTCAACTGCATACTCTAAATTACTTCCTGTAACTTGTTTTTGTTTGAATCTTGCCGCGTGTAGAGCGGCTTCGTTGCATACATTTGCAATATCAGCTCCACTAAATCCTGGTGTCAAAAAGGCCAATCTTTTAGAGTATAAATTAGGAGCATGCTCTAGAGTGATGCCTTTTAGATGTTGTTCGAAGATTTCTTTGCGCTCAATAAGGTCAGGGTAGTCTATTAAAATGTGTCGATCGAATCTGCCAGGACGCAAAAGGGCTTTGTCCAAAACATCTGCTCTGTTGGTCGAGGCCAGCATTATGACATTCTCTTTGCTGGCCATACCGTCCATTTCCACTAAGAGTTGATTTAGGGTTTGTTCACTCTCTCCACTAGCCCCAGAGCTTAAATTTCCACTTCTTTTTTTGCCTACAGCGTCAATTTCGTCAATGTAGATTATGCAAGGGGCTCGTTTACGAGCTTCGCCAAAAAGATCTCGCACTCTTGCAGCTCCCAATCCACCAATCATTTCAATAAATTCTGATCCGTTCATTGATAAAAATGGTACGTTTGCTTCGGTTGCTACTGCTTTAGCTAAAAGTGTTTTACCACATCCTGGAGGACCTGAAATGAACAAGTTGAATAACATAAATATCTCAAATAAAATGAATATGAACTTTATTATTGCTTATATCTCTATGCCTATTATCAGGTACAGGGTTATTGGTTATAAATGTCACCCCCTCTATCTTCTTTATTTGACATTTTAGAAAAAAATGTCCCAAATAAAAGTTTTATGGTTGAAATTAAATTTTTTGAAAAACTCACTTTCACATATACAGGGTGTTTCAGAAAAGCTGGTCGTGCTCCAAATTTCTTATTTCAAATAGAACACCCTGTTTATTATTAGATATTCGGATTCTACGTAAAATTCTGAGCAGATTTCATGTGATATACTCTATACCTAAGTTCAACTGTTTTGGAAATATTGACAGTTGAAAATTGACTTTTTTGCAACTTTGACAGGCTGTAAATCCTAAACGGTTAATTTTATAGCAAAACCGATCTTACATTTTTTTCTTAGATTTTTATAAACTATCAGCTGACACCAATATTTGACAACTTTGAATTTAATCCATGATTGAAAATTCCAATTAAACTTAATATTCGGTTAAATTCAATGTTGGTGTCAAATTATAACTTGTGAAAATCTTAGAAAAAAATGTAAGATCGGTTTTGTTCAAAAGTTAACCGTTTAGGTTTTACAGCCTGTCAAATTTGCAAAAAAGTCAATTTTCAACTGTCAATATTTCCAAAACCGTTGAACTTAGGTATAGGGTATATCACATGAAATCTGCTCAGAATTTGACTTAGAATCCAAATATTGAATAATGTATAGGGTATTCAATTTAAAATAAGAAAGTTGGAGAACGACCAGCTTTTTTGGAACACCCTGTATATGCAAAAGTGAGTTTTTCAAAAAAATTAATTTCAACCATACATTTTTTATTTGGGACACTTTTTTCTAAAATGTCAAATAAAAAAGATAGAGGGGGGTGACATTTATAACCAATAACCCTGTACATTAAGGTTCACCTAATCCATTTAACAAATCAGGTACATCAGTAATTGATATTACATTCTCATGTCTGTTGGAACAGAGCTAATATGTTTGAAAATCAAAACATATTTAGGTTAGTAAAGCTGTTACATGTTATGAAAATAGAAATCCTTCTCATGCCATCTTCTCATGCCATCTGCACATCAGTTCTATACATAATTGTATGGCAGAAAGGAAAAAAGCTATATACCATCAGTCATGCACTTTGATGATGTAAGTTGTTCTGTGCAAGAGGATATTGTCAATTTGTTTGCTGAATACTTCTCAAAAATATATAGTGTCAAGGACTGTACCCTGAATCACTCTCTACCTTTTAGTGACATCAATCTTTCCCATTTTAATATACGGATCTCATCAATTTATGAAAGGTTATCAAGTTTGGATATAAATAAAGGATGGTCTCCCACCAAACCTTAATAAATTTTGTACTTTCATCTTTTCAAGACTACTTCATATTATCAATAATAATATAACTAGTGCAATGGAAATTATTGATAATTTTTGGGAAATTTGCCCGAATGCATTTTCAGTTAAAAACGCATGAGTGCAAATTTGTCGAAAATTATAAATATATTTCCATCGCACGAGTTGTATTTAATGAGAGAATTTCATAAATCAAAAATTTAAATTTTTTGTCAAAAAATGTCAAAACACAAGTTTTCGCACCAGTTAGTATGCAATTATCTGATAATTTGCACTAGTGCAAATTATCGCGTAATTACAATCTGATTGGTTCAAATCAACAATCAAAACATGTCAATTTATTGTTGGAATACCAGTTTTGACAGATGTATGAAATTCTCTCCAATATTTCCCTAAAATCTGTAATTTTCCCAACCTACTAGAAAATAAGCTTCATCAGGTGACAACTTTCAGGTCAATAATTACAGCTCAGTATTTTGAGTTGTATTCCAGAAGTTTTTGAAGCTAAGTCTGTGACTATTTGTCTGCTAGTCTGAAGAATTGTTTCATCAACCAGCAATTTGGATTTCTCCCCCACCACTCCACTGAGTTGAACTTGTTTACATTTACAAATTTTCCCTTGAATTTATTGGAAGAAGGGTCCCATGTGCATGACATATACATACACAGACTTCACGAAAGCGTCCAACAAGAGTAAACCATAAAATCCTAATCAATGAATTTAGACACACTGGAAGAGCTTTTAGAATGGTTAACATCATACCTTGCAGATACAACACAAATTGTACGCATCCACAACTTTCAGTCCACCGAAATTAAAGTTCCATCAGGTGTTCCGCAAGGTTTACATCTCGGGTCACATCTAGGACACCTACTGTAAATATTATTGCATTCTATTTTACGTTCGCATTTTTCTTATTATTTGCTGATGATCTAAAATTCTACATGAAAATCCAAAATCAGAATGACTGTGACCAACTTCAATATGATTTAGATCGTTTATCTCAGTGGTGCGATCCTAATGAAATGGAACTAAATATTAATAAATGCCAATTAATGATCTTCAGTCGTGAAAGAAATCCCATCCATCAAAATTATAATATAAAATTGCTGGCTTCTCAAATAAAAGATTTGGGAGTGTTGGTTGACAGCCACCTAACTTACACACAACACTTATCATCAGTTGTTTCTAAATCAATTCAAGTATTGGGCTTCATCAAACGCTGTACTAAGGACTTCCTAAATACCCCTTCCATCAAAATGCTTTCTGTTCCCTGGTGCGATCACCTTTGAATTATTGTTCTTGTGTGTGGTCTCCCTCTTATAATGTCCATATACTGGCTATCGAGAGGGTACAGCATAAGTTTTTGAGGTACATAGCATTCAAGGAACATCATAGAATCAATAACATAAATTACCCTGAATTGGAAAACTCCCTTCGAATTACATCCCTTCAGGTTCGTTGTATGCACAGATATCTTTCTATTTTTTATAATTTACAACACTCAAACTTCCATGGCCTTGAGCTCACAAATAAAATTGGGCTTCATGCTCTCTCTCGCCAAACCAGACTAAACCATTCCTTTCAAGTTGATTCCCATCGCACCAACTATGGTCATAACTCGTTCGTACCTAGATCAGCTAGACTAGCTAATAAACTTTCAGAAGATTTAGATTGTTTTCAAACCTAAAAAATATTTAAGGAGGGGCTGTCTGTGAGCTTTTATATGTAACTAAATTCATTAAAACAGTATTATCTTTCCTTTCTGGTACTCTTAAAGTCTTAAGCGTGCACATGTGAGGTGCGGGCTTTACTCTTATTGCCTCAAATTGAATCCGTAGTTTTTAGAATTATTATGTTGTTGTTCATGGGTGTTTACTGTTTGTTATCCAGCTCAAGGATAAATTGGATTTGTTTTACTTGGGTTAGGTCTTGATTAAGTTTTAAGTATTGTTATTATTGTTAACTTTCATTATATTGGCAGCTGCCCGTTGAAAAATAAAATAAAATAATTTCCAAAATTAGGATTTTTTTGAGAACAATACATCCAATTGCAACATTTCCTCCTCTGCTCAACCTGATATCACAAATTGTGTAGTTGTGTACTCCTTGTGAGATATCGGTTGAGATTGAATCTACATCTTTGTGCAATAATATTCAATCATCAATTTTTCTACCAGCAGCAAAGATTTTAGGATCATCCGCAAAAAGTAAGAATTGTGAATGCCTTATACATTTTGAGATATATCATTAATGATCAGAACAACAAAAGCAGGCCAAAATTTGAGCCCTGAAGTATAGTCTATCGATAGTCAAATGAGACAGTAAAAAAAATAATATTTCTTTGGCCGTCGGCGTTTTCTTTATGAAGCACCGGCGGAGTAAGGGAAATTTATTAAAAAAGTTTTATATAAAATAAAACATGAGGCACGATACAACTCCAATAGGAATCAAATTTATAAAAACTATCTACTGCACTGTCTTTCCACACGAAACTGATTCGCAAACGGCGGCCGCTACAAAGAAATATGCCGCCAAAGAAGCCGCCTTTTCAAAGAAATACGCCGCTAAAAATTCTAACCAATAAGATATTCCTGGAGTCAACGTTGACTGTATAAAACAACCAGTAATATGCGTTGTTCGCAAGTGGATTCGCATCCAATGTATACGGGCACGCTCAATATATTTTATTTTTAACCATATACCGGGTGACAATGAAACTACTACCCATGGCGCCATTTCTTAACGGCTCGAGATAGAAATATGCAACTCGGTTTGTTGATAGGGTTGAAAATTGTGAACAATTTTAATATAAAAACAATTGAATATCTTTTCCGGTTTTACCGGAAATGGCCTTGACTTTGTTATTTCAAATGGGACACCCTGTATATTATCTTTTTTTTGGACTCTTTGAACAATTCTAAATAATTTTTGTATGAATACCCCATGTTAAAAATTGATAGTTTTTGAAATAGAGCCGCAATGTACGTAAGTATATGTAATTAAATGAGTGAAGTGACAACTTGAGAATGGGTTTTCAAATTTTTAATTTTGCAGGTATCTATGAAGGTTGAATTTGTCATATTTGAATAAAGGTTAAAAAAGTAGGATTGGGTAGTGGAAGTTTCATTTCCATAAGATGAACCAGTTTCGTACAGGGTCCGATCAAAAACTGAAACATTCATTTTCGAAAAACGCGTTTTTCTTAACTTGCATTAATTCTTCTCTTTAATTATTTATCGGATACCTCTTTGAATAAGGAGCAAATAACCATGATTTTTTTTGTTCTGGCATACTCAGTTTTTGCATAAAATACAAATAAATAGGGATTACGATATATTTTTGAGCCACTCTATTTCAAAAACTATCAAGTTTTGACATAGGGTATGTAATACAAAAGTTATTTAGAATTGTTGAGAGAGTCAAAAAAAAATATAATATACATGGTGTCCCATTTGAAATAACAAAGTCAAGGCCATTTCCGGTGAAACCGGAAAAGATATTCAATTGTTTTTATATTAAAATTGTTCAAAATTTTCAACCCTGTCGACATACGAAATTGCATATTTCTATCTTGAGCCGTTAAGAAATGCCGCCGTGGGTAGTAGTTTCATTGTCACCCGGTATGAAATGTTGTCATTACTGACTTCTCAAAAATTTGAAAATGTCACATTTCTGTCTTTTCATTTTTCTGCTCCATTACCTGTCCCAGGACGGGAAGTGAGGACGGGAAATTTTTTCCGTCCTCATTTCCCGTCCACGGACGGAAAATGGAGCAGGGAAATATTTCCCGTTCTCATTTTCCTCTTCATTTGCCGACCTCATTTGGTTGCCCCGAATTTTTTTTTTCAAGAAATTATGGTTAAAAATAAAATAGTATACAACCCTCGACAGGAAACTTCATTGCTGTCTCGAGGTATAAAACCTCTCGACCAGTAATGAAGCATTTCCCGTCTCGAATTGTAATATACTATTTCCTAATAATAGTATAATAATTTTAACGGGCAATACGATAATTTGAGGAGACCCCAATTTTTGCCTTGTCTCATTTGAGAAACGATAGACTATACCAGGGGCAGCTACATACGTAAGCATTGTAAAATTTAACAAATTAAAATCTAGTACCAAGATAAGAAACTAGATAATCAGTTATGTTGTCACTGAAAGAAAAATTCTGGAACTTTTTATTTACCACTCCACCTTATCAAAGGCTTCAACTAGATCTGTGTATTATACAGATCTTATCACAAATTATTCTTACCTAATAAAAGTGCTCCTTTAGGTACTTTAGCTCCCAAAGCCTTATAATGTTCAGGCCTTTTCAAATAATCCACAAACTCTTTAACTTCTTGTTTGGCTTCTCTTAACCCAGCCACATCACTAAAAAGTACACCTTTGCCTTGTCCCATTATAGGATCTATTAGGGTGAATTTTGCTCTAGTCATTTGGCTCTGCAATATAAATGTATCAAAATTAATTCAATAAAGGATAATTTGTTCTCACAAACATATCCATATTAATCGGGGTTCTAATAGCTTTGTTCTTGGCCAGCCACCATAATAGGGCTCCAAAGAAAGCTACAGAAATTAGTAGTTTTCCTGCAGAATCTGTGCCTCTTTCATATGTTACAGGGACACCATCCTTTATGCCCAGTCTTCTTTCAGCTTCTCTAAGTTTTTCTTCGAATTTGCCTACATCTGCTATGTTCATGTGATAAGTACGAAGATCAGACTGTAACAAAATATATTAGAGATTGTCATATCTTTTGAATAGTTTTACCCTTCTCCCTTTAATAACAGCACCTTCATGCAATATAATTGTAACAATATCAATATCAGGCCTGACAATAAGTTGTTCCACTTCTCCTTTGGCCAACATTTGATAGAGAAATTCATTCCAAGATACATAACGAACTACCTGAAGAGTTTAATTAATTTTCACGCATATATTTTTCCTAAATTTCACTTGCCTCAGGAGCATTAGTGCTTGGAAACATTAAAGAAATTATTGCAATAAATATGTAGGCTGTCAACATCCATATTAGGGCTTTGGCTAACAAGGTGGAAAGTTTGTCTTTATCTTCATCATCGTTATCTTTTTCTGAAATAAATTTCCCTATTTTTTTTTTGTATTATTATACTGAATAAATTCTTACCTGGTTTATCAGGATCAGGGGGTTTTATAGGTCCACTAGGTTTCTGAGGCCGATTCGACGTTTGGCTGAAATACGTGAAGCCGCCCAAATGGGGTAGCAATTGGACAACATCTTTGAGCCCAGACCGGTGCACTAATGCCCAAACTGCAGCGTATTCTTTGTTTATAATTTTCAGTTGCTGAAACATTGTGCAATATTTTAAAAAGTCAATAATTTATTACCAAACGTATGTATTACCTTTTGGAAGGCAACATTTTTGAAGCTTGTAGATTGTAGGCTCTGTATCAGGTTACTGGGGGCCCCATTAAGGCTGCAGGTGGCTTGGGCTCTTGTTATGTAACGTCCTAAAATTAAATTTAATGGCAAACGAATGGTCCTAAACATTATAAAGTTGATTTTTCATTTTCTTTTAAATTTTTTAATTTTTTTTGAAAATCTATTTTTGGTTTGAGGTTATGGTTATGTTATGACAGGCCTTTTGCGTATTTTGCCTTTTTCATAGAATTCTGCAGCTAAAAATCCAATTGTCGCTACGTTATTTTGCGCTTACACGGCTAGATGGCAGCACTATACATTAAAATGAAGCTGCACTAGAACAAAGATAATCCTACTCCGGAGTAGGATTATAACTTGGGATAGAAAATTACGAGGTTCGCGCACACTTCTAATCACAAAGTTACAGTTCTGAACACTAGATCGCAGCACAAGTAAGAAAATAAATTGTTTGAAGCCTTTGCAAGCAAACAGGCCTTTTGCTTCAACCCTATTATTCCATATTTGCACTGAATTTTCACCATTTTTCTTGTTCTGGAGCGTTTATTGTTCCATTTTTGTATTAAATCAGGAACCCGGACCGAAATGAAATATCGGTTCCGTTTCAGTTGCGGTTGACAGCTTCATGACAAACATCGGTTTCATGGTTCGGGTTCTAAAAAAGAAATATTTCTATTCGGTTCCGACCATCAATAGTTTCGAGCTAATTTTTAGGGCGGGTTACTCAATTGTATTCCTTTCAAGAGTTTAGAACACTAGAGCTACTCTCGCTCCGGCGATAGTCCCCGATTTGAAGTGATTCGGGCTTGAGCTTTGTGCAACAAATAGGTACTTTTCGAAAGGAATAAGCGGGTTACGCCTCGGAGCTCTTCCTAGGTGTAAAAGGGATACAACTAATAGCAAGTCACCCCCGGGTTGGGCATGACTCCAGGGTAAACATTGCAACTGGACACGTTTACCCTGGAGTTGAAGCAAACCCGGAGGTGACTCGCTATGGAGAAACCGACCCTAAGCTACTGACCAGTCGGTCATCTTGACAGATAAGCAATGCATTTAACGTCAGTTAAGACCAATTGGTTGACAAATGACGCCTAATTAATGGTTTATCTGTCAAGATGACCGATCGGTCAATCGCTAAAAATTGGCTCGAAGCCAGTTTTAACGATTCATACCAGTATAGTTTATCACAAATATCTAACAGAAAAATTTATGTTTCTGTAATTTATGGTTGTTTTTATTGGATTTCTGTGTCTATCTGCAACTCTAATTGGTTTACGTGGCCGTATTATGACACACGGAAACGTTGAAAAATTCAAACTTTAAGGGTCGGTTTCTCAATAGCAAGTCACCTCTGGGTTGGTTTTAACTTCAGGGTAAACGTATCCAGTTGCAATGTTTACCTTGGCTGGAGTTAGGCTTAAAGGGGGCGTGAACCAAAAATGAAAGTTAGTTCAAAAAATAAATCTAAGAATAATTATTTAAACCGCATCTTGCTGCGATGAACTGTTTTCGAGATAGGGCGGTTTAAAGTGACGACGGCTTCGGAGGCACAGTTAAAATACGTGTAAAGTTTTCCAAAACAAGATTCAACAATCTCACTTAGAGCGAATTGCAACCACTAACCACTTAAAGTATAACGCACGGTTCACTGACGACTGAACAAAAATAGAATACTGTGATTTTGGCGGTTAGCCGGTGTGACGTCACAAGTTCCAGCATAATTTATCTTCATGAGGGATTATCTTGGGAACTATTTGAATATAGGACTGCGGTTTTCACGAGAGATCTTAGATTTTTTTTCTTGATTTAGATAGCTTAAGTTGTTCTTTTGAGTCATATCCAAGAATCGTAAACTCTACAGGATTGCTCAATCGGCTGAATTAGTTTACAAGTGCTGTGACGTCACCTGCATTCCTGATTTTCAAAATGGTCGCCGATACAGATGATAGTTGAGTTTGTGCTGACAATTTATTTTATCGTAAATTCGAAGTTTATCAAGTGTTATAAGTGTAATTTAAAGTTTCATTTATCGTGTGTAAGCATAAAAGACTCATGGCTAAAAATAATCGTGGAAACCCCAAACATTTTCTCGTTTTAGTGGTTTTGTAATGCCTAGGTCTGTTTGTGCAGAAATCACAAAGCAGTCAGAGTGAATTTCATTGGTTGAAACTGGTTTTCTGACTGTTAGTGTTTCCTAGTCATAGTTATTTATTATACAAGACGGTAAAAAGATGCTTTGCCTGTGAGTGGAAAATGTTGATTCACGAGCGACGAAGGAGCGAGTGGATTAATTCCACGAACAGGTAAAGCACCACAGGTTATGATTGCACTGATTTTTGCTTTATGCATACGTGTGTCCGTAAAATAACGGATAAATCCATTATTTTGGAAACGGTAGAATTTTTGAAAAATAGCTCAGACACGTCAATTTTCTTTTTTTGTTTGGAATTTTTTGATATATTTTTTATTATACAGGATGTCTCAAAAATATCTCCGCTGCTATCAACTTTGTTTTTTCAAATGGATCACCCTGTATATTATGACATTCATGGATTCTGCGGAAAATTTTTGACATATTTCATGTACAATGTTGTACCGGGTGTTTTTGAAAACCCGCTCACCCCTATAACCTTTTTATTTTTCCAAATAAGCAAATGAAATTTGTGTTTATTTATTACCCGGATGTGCATTATTTGACGTATTCGATTATTTATTATCACTTCCGGTTTGACCGGAAGTGACCGTACCTTTCTTATTTTAAATAAGACGCCAGGTATATTTTCCCTTATTTCAATATAAAACTACATGACGAGTACAATGACACCTCATTTGTCACTTTTTGACATTTCATCTTCAAATTATTTAAATTTTTACTTTTTGATCTAGAGCGCCATGAATTAGTTAAAATGCTTAATTTTGCTCCAAGGAACCTGGGAAAATTTGTTTGCTCCTATTCCATATTTGCAGTGAATTTTCACCATTTATCTTGTTCAGGTGGGGGATTCTCATCCTCTAGTCGCACTATCGTCCAGACTATCCCATTGCTTTTCTACGAGTGAGTCGGGACGATAGGTTGCGACTAGAGGATGAGAATCCCGCCCCTGGAGCGTTTTTTGTTCCATTTTTGTAAGTTGAACAAATTTTACTTCACAACTGTCAACAAATAACTGGCATAAGTTTGACAGGAAACTAATGGCGCGAAAATTCTAAATTCTTGATTTTTTATTATTTTTTTGTGATTTCAGGCCCTGAAATTTCATGTATTATTTATTTATTCCAGGCTCTCGAATTACATAATTTTTTTAATTACAGACCTGACCCTCTTTTTAAGGCTGAGTTCAGCTCACTCTGTAAACTAAGCTCAAAACGTTAAGATTCTGTTCCTTACACTTTTTCCCTTTCTACAAATGAATTTGAAATCTGACGTATCTATGATCTGACGTTTCTTCTTGTGGCCACCATCATGTACCATGTTTATGCTTCCCGTTAAACTGTTTTGATTTTAAATGTGTTTTTACCATAATGACATTATTTCGTTTTGACCTGAAAACGGTTTAAATACTGCGTAAACATCTCAAACCGTTTTACTGGAGTGTCAGCACTGCTTGTTATGACATTTGAAAACAGTTTCGGGCACAGCCCCATATACTTGTGTTTCTTTTATAGGTACATCGAGTAACACCGAACGAGCTCCTCGGAGTCACTCCAAAACACACAATTCAGATTTTATCATTATTTTTTAATAATAGAGTTCTCGTGCCTCATACGCTACGCTAATACGGTACCGCTAACAATACGGTATTTTACATGGTATTTCATAGTTCTCGTCTAAGGTTCTCGTACACGAATACGCAAAAATCCTCCAATCCCTTAGGCCGGCTTTTCATGAGCGTAAACTTGACATAACTGGCGCAAATGCTGAATACGTGAATTTTGGCGCAACATTCACATGGAGTGGCGAATTTACGCCGCCGCGTATGTCAAAATTATATTTTTTTCCTAAATTTTGAAATATTTCTTTCAATTTTGATTGTACAAATTTGTATTTGTTTTTGCTCTAGTTCCAAAAATAGTTACAAATATGGACAGTAAATCACAAAAATCAAGAAAACGAAACGGTTGCAACCTTAACCTCTAAAAACGCTGAATTTTTACGCGAAAAGTTGAACTTTGCTCAACTTTTGGCGCATCTGCGGCAGAGTGTCAGCGTATCCAATATGGCGGGATTTTAGCCAATCAGAATTCTGCATTTAGGTACGCTGTCACGCCATAAATAGAGAGATATCGGTAACCCAAATAGTGTCATGCAGTATTAGCGCCAACGTTATTTTGACATTAAACCTATGCGCGATTCGATTTTTAACACTACGTACTAAAATAACGTTACCGCTTAACGTAATTTACCCAGCATTTACGTTAGGCGCTATTTCGAATAACGTCTAAAAATAACGCCGTGGAATAATAGGTTATGTTATGTTTATTGTTTATTTTATTATTTTTGCTGTATTCAAGTGAATATGGATTGTTCAAAAAATAGTAAAAAAGCAAATCCTCTGTCCCTGACCATGAACAACAGACAACACAAATCAAATCAAAACAAGGTACAAGTTAGACTACGGTTTTAAAATAACGAATGCGAACAGGCAAATTTTACGTTAAACTGTTTTCCGATAACTCTAATTTGAAAGTATGATACCGCTTTACTTTAAAAAAATAACTCCTGACGTTATTCCCGCCCATACGCGCTATCTGTTTTACCGATATCTCTCTAATGTAAAATTACGCTCATGAGAAGCCGCCCTTATTCTGTTTTCATTTTGACAGCTAAGTTGAGTGATCTAACCCAACTTTTTTTTGCTTGTTTTCTAACTTATTATTTATCCTGAAGATTATTCTGAGTTTGATTATTTTTCCTTGTTTTTTTTTTATGGAGGAATTATTAGAAGTTGCTGTTCTTGCAGACGGAAATGGAACGTAAACTAGTTTTGAAAATTTTGACGTAGCATAGCGTTACGGTAAGGCATCCGCTAAATCCCGTTAGATAGCGGGCTCCGCTTACGCTAATACCGTAAGAACTGTCATATTTGTCAAATAGCGTTACGGTATTTGAAATTCGGACAGCACGAGAACTCTCTAAACATTACCGTCCTTACCTAAAGGGCTTCTTACACCCCCCGCGAATTTGGTGCATCAGGGGAAAGGGGGATACACTATGAGCAACTCG